ACCACCTTGTTGAAATCTGACGATTTGTTTTTTTACAAAAGAAAAAGAATACTGACTTACAATTGCAAAAAAATTAGTTTGTTACGTGTTGTCACAACCTCCTTATTAAAAGTCGCCAAATTTTGTCAACCATGCTCATAACAGTTTTTCAGTCAAGAAACATTGCCATTTCTGTATGCATTCTTTTTTTGTTATATTCCAAGTTCCATTAGTTTTTGTAAATAAATTGTGATATTTTTAAACTTAATTTTTAAAATATGGATTCGTGGAATTTGTCAACAATGAAAGAAAATGTGATAAAATTTCTGCAGGAACACAGAATTTCGCTGCAAAATCTGTAAAGGGAATAATGAACATTTGGTGTTTGCAAGATGAAGTTTCTGAAACCTCTGATTTTTTTTCTTTGAGCAAAAATACATTGCTATGTACACTGCTAACAAAAGATCAGTATTTCACCACATTTAGATGACGGAGAAGGGAGAAACAACATTTGAAGCATTGCATAAAAGAAAAGTTGTGTAGTGGATTTCTCATTCGAAAAGCACTTTGTAAAATTGGAGTTTGCTCAGAATATCGTGTTATGCCTCAAATAAAAAGAAGAAATGCTTATCAGCAAGTGTCGGAATTTGATAGAAGCAGGATAATTGTCTCTCGGGAGTGTAGATTATCATTCCTTGATATCACCTGTCGCACTGGCCGATATCCAACCACTGTCATGCCAATATGCAATCAGTGGGTTGCTGAGGGTCATACTGAACAGCATGCAGGATCTCAGTGCCCTCCCATGACTAATGCATGAGAGAAGAGACATATTGTGAGGTCAGTGCTGCTAAACTGTGCAACCACATCACGGACCATTAGTCAGGAAATGGACATGTTTGCAGCATGCCCAGTATCCGCTCAGTAGGGTGCATTGACGTTTGCAGCAGCGTGGACTATCAACACGGCAACTATTACTTCCGCTTCCCTTGACAATGCAGCATAGAGAGAGACAGCGACTCAGAACAACAAAACTGGATACAGAGTGGCATAATGTCGTCTTTTCAGACAAATCCCTGTTCTGTGTGCAGTATTCTGATGGCCGTATACGTGTCTGGAATCTCCAAGGAGACTACACTTCGCCTGCTTGCATTCGATATCGGCATAAGGACCCTGCACTTTGTGTGATGGTTTGGGCAGGTATTGGGTACATGACATGCATATCTCTAATTCGGATTGACAGTAATTTGAACGGACAGATCGGTACATTACTGACATCTTACATCCAGTGGTTGTGCCCTATCTTCGAGGCTTCCAAACACCATCTTTCAAAAGAAAATGCAAGACCACATGTTGCATATTGTGTTCTGACCTTCATCGATACACAGGATATTCGATTGCTGCCCTGGCCCCTGCATGGTCTCCAGATCTCCCATCCATTGAAAACATCTGCTCATGGGTTGCTGAAAAACTGGCCCACCACCCCTTTCCAGCTAATACGGTTAATGAAATGTGGTATAGACTTGAAGTTGCATGGAATGAGTTGCCCATTATCTGTCATCCAAGCCCAGTTCAACTTCATGCCTAACCGGATAAGGGCCATTTTAGCTACTAGGGCTGGCAGATGTAATACTAATATCGCATCCCTGTAAACCCCCAGACTGCTTACAAATTTAATCATTTTCTCTTCATGCCATACTGTATACATGCAATAAATATCTTTTTTGTATTTGCTTTTCTTCATGGTATTGCAATTTTAATGGCCAGCAGTGTACTTGGAGAGGAGAACAGCACAAACAAATGACAGAAAGTTTTGGTAAAAAAATATAAATGTTTATTTAATGGATCACATAATTCTTATTTAATATTTAAAATTTGTATCTGGAATTGCTCTTCTTTACGTATGTTGATAATATTTGATAATTTATGATAAATATAAAAAAAGTGAATCTTTTAATAAATGTAGCTAAAACCTCTATCCTATATTGGGTACATCATGTGTTCAAATCACATCTGGGTGACCACTGTGCGTATATCATACGCAATTATAGAGTACTAAGTCATAATACATGCTTGTTATACTGGAAAAGCAGTAAATCGCTTAGTTAATTAAATCAGTTATCTTCACAACATAACAAATTTTACATTTAACAAAAATAAATTATTAAGAATACAAGTGTCTGCACACAAACACCGATGGAACTACGCTACTGAGATACAGGTATACTTATATACAAATATTTCTGTACAGTTTTAGGTACAGTAAAAAGTCTAATCCAGACGTCCATAATCTGGAATGATCTATAATCCGGACCTCAAAGCTATAAACTTTCTGCGCATGCATAAATGCATAATGCATTTGCGCATTTAACGTATACTGGACAGTATAAGCTAGGCTAAAATTATCTAATTATCTATTTCAGTTAATATTGCAGATTGCATTGTTCCTTAATCTTCTAATTGGATCCAGCTTATTATTTTTTGCAGACTGTTAGAGCAATTTTATAAAAAGTAAGCTTGAACTTTCGATTATGTCAAAAAGAGTTTCCGATTCTGGAGCTGCCAAAGAATCTACAAAGTGAAAGCATGTTTCGATGTCTATCAAAACAAAAAGTGGAATTGCTGCAAAAAATGGATAAAGGCATGAAGAAAGTGACAGAGACGTTAGTGAAAACGAAAAAATTTCGATTGACAAGTTAGTATTCTCAGCGCTGCAATTACAGGACTTGAACAGTGGAACTTTGTAACTGAACACACAAAAAACGAAGCAACTTAAACATCTTGCATTGAAAGAAATGTTTAATAAAGTAAACAAATATTAAGCTTTTTTTTTTTTTTTTTTTTTGTAAATTTTGATACCTTTTAGATCATAATTGCTCTTTATTTCATAAATTACGGTTTCATATTTTTAATTGTATAATTTCTGCATGCCATCTTACTAGATTTAAATTGATGATCTATAATCTGGAAAAAACCCTAATCCGGGGTCCCGATGAGTCCGGATTAAAGACTTTGTATTGTATATGAAATAATGCAGTTATATAAAGAGTTAGGAAATAATAAAGAGTTCATAAGTCCAATTGCAGCTAAACCAAACACCAGCAACTTGAACAAGGATGTTACTCTGCCTGCAGTAGAATACGAAGTTGTTAAAATTGGGGGATTTTTTTCCTTTCCCAGCTTGGTTTCACTTAGAAAAATGGTATGTGCTTTGCTGAAGAAGTTGCTATTAAGCATGCCAATAAGGCAGCCGTTAAATTCATTGCAATTAAAGTGAATGAACATTGAAGTTTGATGGTACAAAGCCTGAACGTGCTTTAGGATCAAGACGACTGAAAGATGGAGTTAACTTGAAAGAAGGATGAAAATGGTAAGAATGAAGTAGAGACCTTGTTGTGGTGATGAGGCCTCTGTAATTTCCAATATGGTAATCCTGGCTGAGACCAAGTTTCTTCCTGAAATGATAGATAACAAGGATGAATCCATATCAGTCGGCTGGATGTGAGAAGGAAATACAGTGTGTCCATTTGAATGATAAATAATCCAGAGATGATAGCGAAAATTTAAACGCAAAAAACACACAAGAAATTACAAACTAAAATATAAGGGGTTTTTTGGGAGGGGGGGAACTAACATGTTATGGAAAAAGTGAAGGCGGAGACTATATAGTCAGATAAATTGGCCAATGCCCAGTTACTCTATGGATCATCACTTTGCTACTAGCTTCAACTACTGTGAGTTTTTACTAGTCGATTTAGTTTATTTCTCTAAGGCCAATCATAAGGCGATGCTGTTATTTTGGGAAAGTGAAGAATTTAAAGATAAGTTTGTAAATTCAAGAAGTTCTTATCAGCAAGTGAATTAAGCACTGCAGTATTAAAGTCTTGAAATTCACTTTGTAATTCATATATACATTATTTACACAGTTTTTTAGATATGCAAAATGTTGAAACTTATGATTTCTTGGTCAGGTGATGTGAACCAACTATGAAAGTGTTTGCTTTCATAATTTGCATAAATGGGCAAATAATCTTGAAAATTCCTCTTGAAATGAAGTCACCTGTTGCAGGCCTATTGGAAATGAATGTAAGTAATATCACATGATGTGACTGGCAAATGGTGAACACTAATGCCCAAACTTTGGTAGTAATTTTGGCTCAAGTGCAGAATCACCCACTTATTTGATTGGCGCTTTTTACAAGAGTAAGGAGAGTTGGACTTTCGTCAATTTTCTTTGACTTTTTAAATGAAAATAGGTTGATGTGTACATGAATACCGAGTATGTGCAATTCTTAAAAACGTGCCAAGCAGTGGGCGATTCTGCACTTTCCCCGCAATTTTTACAAGTACACTGAAACACTGAATAATAATGATAATTAAATAAATGAAGTAAATAATAGTTGATAAGTAACATCCTTAACCTGCTTTATCAAGTAACCCAAAGTCCATTTTCTGCTATGTCAGGAGAAATAAAACTACAAGAATGAAAATTTCTGTTTACATATGTACAGATTTACTATCACCAGCGTGAATTGTGGTGAATCATTCTAAGGATTTTAACAGTGTTTTCGGTTTAATTCTACTGTACGGTACACACGGGATTTGCCGACTTTATGATAAGCAGTAATTTTGGTGTTGGCAAAAAATTTTAAAAATCGCACCAAGGCCGTACCGTATACTAGGATTTTACCGTGTGTTCAACTGTATTTTGTTTTCCAAGACGTTAACCTCTTTGTTTCCAAGAAAGACAAAGTAGACGATTTCTTGTTTTGCACTCGCTAAGTCTTTCTGCCCTAAGCAGTTGCCAAACTTTTTCAGTTAAGTTTATAATATTCTGTAAACATACTTAATAATGAATATTATTTATCGTAATAAAATATGTTGAAAATTCATAATATCTAGAAAAAAGTGTAAACATTTAAAACTATAATTTCTTATTTGTCATTTAAGAAATTATTTTTAAAATTAATTTATGTTTTTCAGTAACCGAACAACTTTTTTTCACTAAGAAAAGAGCAACATGTACCTTAGAGATTCTTGATGTAAACTTACCGAGTTACGTTACCGGTACTGTACTTTTTGTTTTGTTCAGGATGGAGAACGGTTCTGTTGATACAGAAGATAATGATGAAATTCTTTATAAAGAATTTGTTTCTGTACATGAAAAACAACTTTTATCGCTGTCTATTCCACAGAGCAAATGGCGAATCCTACATTACAAACTGAGTGAATCGGTAAAGAATTACAAATTGTTTTTTAGTTCACCTGAAAAAATATTCGTATAAATTTACCCCTTGGAAACGTAACAGCCTAATTATATTGCTGTATTGTCATTTTTTCCCTTTTAGTTTATACAAAGTGCAATATTAAAATTTTGTTTAATTAAGAAAATTGTGTTATATGCAGTGCTTAAATTGCGCCGGAGCCCACTGGAGTCCGGCTCCGGTACTTCTCATTTTTAAGATAAATTACAATTCTAGCCGGAGCGCACTGGAGCCCTAAATAAGATGAGCTCCGGTACTTATTTTTATAAAACTGAACCACAATTTAAAGGGAAAAAATGTAGAATTCCTAACATTTTAATTTAACAATAAGCAGACCTTGCAATACTCTATTTCCCTAGAAATACGAACTTATGAGACGTTCAAGTAAAATGCCCTCACTCACATGCGGAAACCTTGTCCTTTACATTGTTATCGATGGTTACAGTTAGTTTTCTTCGCAGGAAGGAAAATTTGTGTTCTTAAACGTGCGTTAAGTGACAGCGAGTACAATAAGAGTGAAATACTGAGATAAACTGCTCAAGAACGTCCTATACATCGTCTTCCCACAATGTAAGCAAATACGGGGGGGGGCGAAAAGCGTAACCAGCAACTTTACATTCATCCTTAGAAGTCAGATTCAGGATTCATTTTATCCATACATACATGACATCCATACATATCCATGACATACATCTGCTTGATGGATATAATTATATAAGCAGAGAACCCCGCTATCAAACAGAACGTACTCTCTCACCAAGATTCCCCTCATTTTTGTTCCGGTTAATCTTTGGATTATGGTAACTTGACGAAAATTTGGCGACCAACCCTGCTACAGCAACCTGCTATTTTTTTTTTTTTTTTTTTTTTGACACCATTTTATTTTCACGAAGTAAAGGCATTCTCCCCCTCTGAACATTTTTTTCCAACAATCTGCTAACCGAATTACGCTTATGCTAGAACTTTTATCGAACAAAAGTGCTTAATCATGACGAAGATTAGGTGCGAAATTGGGAGAAAGTGCAGAATCGCCCACTGCTTTGTGCGTTTTTAAGAATTGCACATACACGGTATCATCCATGTACATGTTGACCTATTTTCACTTAAAAAAAAAATCCCAGAAATGCACAAAAATGGCATTGCGCACACTCTTGACTTTATCCATGTACACTGCTTAAGTCCTAGCTAGTAACCTTTATCGCCTTATAATGTCGCCAAACTACCTGTTACCATATTCCAAAGATTAGACTTTTTTCCTACCCATTCATACCCTCATTCTGTTTCGCCCTGGAATTTTCATCAGCTATACTTTTAAGTATATTTAATTTTTGTGATGATAAAAGAACTCCTCCCCCTACAATCAGAGCTTAAATTGGGCCGGAGCCCACTGGATTTCGGCTCCGATGCTTCTTAGTTTTTGTAATAAATCATAATTCTAGCCGAAACGCACCCCAGCACTGAATAAGAAGGCTTACGGCACATCTTTTGTGTAACTGAATAACAATTTCAGTAGAAATTTTATCTTGAAAATTTTATTTTGACAAAAAAATTTTATCAAAAATCGCTTATTGAATTTCGATTTATCTCTTTACATTTTATTTAATTTTAATTATTTAATTAATTCAATCTTTAATTATTTCAATTAATAATAATTAATTATATAATAATTATTGATTAAATAACAATTTATAACATTAATTAAATGACTATTAATTAATTTGATAATAATTAACTATTTAATTTTAAAATTATTAATGAGTTTAATAGTCATTTTATTTATTTATTTACTCTTGTTCCTCTTTGCTGACGGTCTTCCATAGGGCTTCGGCACTTCTAATCTTAGAAATTAAGCCCTGGTTATATGTAAAAGGAAAATTCAGTAAATGACGCATTGCATTTTTCCGTCCACGTTCGGAGTATATTCTCTCCTTCATCTTGATGAAGAGCTAGAAAACCAGTTATACTTAAAGGTACGCCATTTAAAAAATATTTTGCTTCTCGGGTTTGACATATAGAATAATATTTAATGTAAATTCATATAGGTGTTGTTTTCATATGTTCCGTTGTGATTGCTAGTTTCATTCATGAACTTTATGTACTCAATTTCATGAAATGACAAAATGTATAATCACTTTATGAAAGTTATATCACAGTGATGTAAAGTGTATGCAACTGATTGTTGTTTTCATGATCATATCAGTATAGTTTTTATTTGGATGCTATTGCTGCAGTTTTTTATACATGCAGTTAAAAGATAGGATGGGAAAAGCATTTATTTTCGGTAGGAATACATTTGCACTCGGGTCAATTTCTGAAGTAGTAAATGTTTTTGTCTTTAATTTCCTGTGATGAAACAGTCTGTGTATTTAAAAGCATGATTATTGCATGGGTGAAGTGCAGAATCGCCTACTTATTTGGCATGCTATGTGTGGCGCTTTTTACAAAAGTAAGAGTAGGATTTTTGTCAATTTCCTTTGACTTTTAAGGGAAAATACATCGATGTATATATGGACAAAGTCAAGGGAGTACGCAATGCCGAATTTGTGCAATTCTCTGATATTTTTTTGAAGTGAAAATAGTTCGATGTGTACATGGATACAGAGTTTGTGCAATTCTTAAAAATGTACCAAGCAGTGGGTGATTCTGCACTTTTTCCTATGGCTTTTGATTCTTTTGGACCTGATCATTTTACATTGTGAATCTATTTTCTTTTTAATATTTTTTCTTTTTATTTCAGATTTTTGATGCAGGAAATGATTTTGCATATTCTCAGGAAGTAAGTTTTGCTGAATGCTATGTTTGATTATAAAATTATTGTATTCTAATTTCTTCTATTTAAATATACATAGGTTTAATCCTAGTATACAGTACATGCAACATTTGGCAACATTAGGATGAGCAGTAAACAAGTCATTTTGGTGTTGGCAACAATTTTTAAAAACATGCCAAATCGCCCAAAAACACTTTTGTGTATGGTGGACTTTAAAACTTCTACTTATACCAACTCAAATCAACTATTTTTTCCAAGTTTAACTCATTTGTAACAAAATAAATAAATTAAAAAAAAATCAGGTTAATCTTCGGATTATGGTAACTTGACGAAAATTTGGCGACCAACCCTGCTACAGCTACCTGCTTTTTTTTTTTTTTTTTGATACAATTTTATTTTTACGAAGTAAAGGCATTTCCCGCCCCCTCAACATTTTTTTCCAACAATCTGCTAGCCGAATTACGCTTATGCTAGAACTTTCATGGAACAAAAGTGCTTAATCATGATGAAGATTAGGTGCGAAATTTGGAGAAAGTGCAGAATTGCTCCGCGTTTTTAAGAATTGCACATACACGGTATCCATGTATACGTCGACCTATTTTCACTTAAAAAAAATATCCCAGAATTGCACAAAAATGGCATTGTGCACACTCTTGACTTTATCCATGTACACTGCTAATGTCCTAGCTAGTAACCTTTATCACCTTAACAAAATGTCGCCAAACTACCTGTTACCATATTCCAAAGATTAGCCAAAAATTGAATAAAATGAAAAAGGATGAGCTAGCTTCATCTCCTTGCATTGGGAAAAAATCTAATTCTCAAGTGCAACTCATTTGTTACTACCTAAGGAGAAAGTTTTAATGCAAAGTGCGTTCATTTGAACCACTGTGAGTGTAACTGTAATGTGAGCAGAGAAGAATAAAATAAGAATAAAATAAGTAATGTACTTTCGTGATTTAACCCTTTGATGCATGCAATATTATTTTTTTATATTTTTTTTAACTAAAAACTCTAGAAATTGAATATTATGATCCTAGAGACAAATAATATATGAACTAAAAAAAATCTACGGTACTTTTCCGTTTCGCCGGCGCAAACCTTGCCAAGTAGACTTTATTGGCGAAAACACAGAGTATACACATAAAAAGTGTTGACAAACGTTAGTTTTAAGAATTTTTTATTTTGTAGGTATAAATATTTTAATATAGTTTAAAATTTTGTAAAAAAAGCCAATAAATTGGTAAAAACACATTAATTTAAGAATTTACGACGCTTTCATCGTACAACATCCTGATTCGTCGGTTCATATCACGTGACCCCAAGCGATCTCATCTCACGTAAACTACGCACAAAAATCTAATTCTCTCAGTAATTATCTACATTAATTTCAAGTTTAAATCTTAATTTGGAATACAAGTTTAAATGCAAGAATTATTTCAATTCGTACCAATAGCTTACTCAGAAATTATGTAAAACCGCAGTGCTTTACTTCGCTAGTGCATTCTCATTAGAATTGATGATCCTTGGCTTTGCCCTTTTCTATATTTTCGCCTTCGGGTAAGGGGTGTGATTGCATCCTAATCAACTTAATTACCGCGAATGGCGGGCATAAACTGAACTATCTGGTACAAATTCTATATAATTGTATGCTAGCATTGAAAGAAACAATCAATCTGATAAGAAATAGCTGGGACTTGTTTTGAAAATAAGGCGTGAAAGGTTACCACCGAGGATATTACGTTTGGCATGAGTTGTACCATTATTGGCGACTTTATCGCCTGCGCCGGCAAAACTGAAAAGTACCAAATCTACTCTCTCCCATTGTTCTGTGGGTGTTGGTCGCACTCTGAAACCACCGCGCGTCTAGGACTTTGAAACTTGCTGAGGTAGTAGGGAGAAAAAAAAATTTACCTTTCTCCGTGCTCGTTTCCAATAAATGACAAAATTTACGAATTAAAAAAAAATGTATATGAAAGAATTGCATTATCTATATTTTTTACATCATTTTACAAAGTAAATCATCAGAAAATATTAAAAAATAAGCATTTATGTAATTTTCCTATAGCATTGAAAATATAAGTACCTACATAATATGAATGTTTGGCTAAATGGATTAAAAAAAAAAAAAAGACTCCGTGCATTTTAAAAAAATTTCAAAGAAGAAAATTTTTTTTGTGACACTGTTTAAGATGTTTTGTCTTTTTGGTATATGTATAGACCCAGCAAGTTTCGCACATGTATCTTCTATGGGGTTTCTTTCTTGTGCTACCAAATGTACACTACCTGGATCTAAATTTCACTGGTATATATCCTACGTTATTTAGTTTCTTTTCATCTGGCACATGAAATTTTTGTTTTTTTATGTTAATGGGGGGGGGCTTGGTCTTTTTGGCTTTGGTACGAATCGTTCGTTTCTCATTCATACTTATGTTATTCGTATTTCGACCCAAAATATGCAGAAAATATTTTTAATTTAGTTAAAACTATGCGATTTCTATTTTTAATTATAGCAAAGTATATTCACATTAAATTTAAACCACAGGAAATAATTTATAAAATCACAAAACAGTCAAAAGTCTTTAATCCGGACTCGTCGGGGCTTCAGCAATTCCGGATTATCGGTTTTTCAAGATTATTATAGATCATCAATTTAAATCTGGTAAGATGGCATGCAGAAATTATAAAATTAAAAATATGAAACAGTAATTTATGAAATAAAGAACAATTATGATCTAAAGGGTATCAAAATTTACAAAAAGCTTAATATTTATTTGTTTACTCTATTAAACATTTCTTTCAACGCGCTTGCGTAAAGCACTACGCATAGCTGAAATTAGAAAATTGCAACCAGAAAACTATTTTATGTGTATTCCTGATATTTATAATGATGAGGAATTTGATTTAAATCATATCAAAGACAGAGTACATCGAGATGAAATACTACATTTAGTAAGGAATTATAAGCCGAATAAAATAAAAACATCTGCCCCGAAGATAAGGGCAGTGCTGACAGATCAACTTCCAGTTTATTGTGTGCCACGACGCTCCCCCCCTTCACAGAGCAGCATGATAAACAGATTTTGGAATGATTAGAGAAACAAAGGATATGCCTTTATCCGTTTTTTGCAGCAATTCCACTTTTTGTTTGATGGACATTGAAACATGCTTTCACTTTGTAGATCCTTTGGCAGCTTCAGAATCGGAAATTCTTTTTGACATAATCAAAAGTTCAAGCTTACTTTTATAAAATTGCTCTAACAGTCTGCAAAAAATAATAAGTCGGATCCAGTTAGAAGATTAAGGAACAACGCAATCTGAAACATTAACTGAATTAGATAATTTTAGCTTGGCTTATACCATCTGTTAGACATTAAATGCACATGCGCAGAAAGTTTGTAGCTTTGAGGTCCGGATTATAGATCATTTCTGATTATGGACATCCAGATTAAAGACTTTTGACTGTACTTGGAAAGCAAGTGTGTTGAGATGAGAGAAAAATCTCTGGAAAAGAAAGACCTTTTCACTGGGTAGGTGCATGTATTGTTTAGTAATAATATAAATCTGTGGTTTCAAAGCCCCTTATCTATATGCGGGTAAAAATAAACGTTCCTTTTTGAAAAGCAAGCAAACTCCATTATGAAGAGCAGTGGTTTCAAGGTGCGACCACCGAGCCTCTAGAGGATTGTGAGCATTGTGGTACAGTGCTCTAGTGGCGCAATGGTTGTGCCATGAAACCACAAAGCAAATACCATAAATATAAATAGGCTTTTTTTATATATGCAGTTTAATTATTGCAATTTTTTATTGTTCACTATAGAAATCATGATGTGCGATGAATAACTTTTGAAATTCAAAGTTGTTTATATTAATAAAAGAAAGTTATTTTGTCTCATTGAAAACAAATTTTAAAAGGCATCCGATTTGAAGTGCTAAGACTTAAAACATGTATGATTCTGCAGTCATTTTGTGTTATTTAGAGGTCAAAGATCAGTAATCAATTGATTTTGACTCATAAATTTTGGAAAGAAGAGGAGAAGAAAATTCGAAAATTGGTGGTTTCAGGGCGCGGCCACCGTGCGTCAGAGGGTTAAAAAAGTAATTAATGGAATAAATGTCTAAATCATACAAATTTTTTCCCCCTTAGTTCTAAATAGAAATATTAACTGCATTGAAGCATATGTGCAAATAACTTGTCATTTTGAAGAAGTGCATAATATTAAAAAATTTAAAAGGAATTTAGTCTTATCAAAATTTATATGACATTTTATTGAAATTTGTATGTATTTCTTTACATGCAATTAATCTTATTATAAATTTTGAATTACCAAAATTTAACCAATTGAATTTGTATGCTGTGTATGTGTAGTAACTTTTCTCAGTAAATAAATATCTTATAGTTACTGATTTTGATGTATCATTCGTAGGTGTTTGTGGATGATCCAGAGGAGAAAAAGAATAGTGATTCTTATCATTGGCGTGTTTACACCAAATGTTCTATGGATCCAAATGATGATGAACAGTAAGATATTTCCCCCCCTCACCCAGAATGTATCCTTTTTTTATTTGTTTTACATATTTTAATTCAACTAAAGTCTTATTATCAGCTAGATTTTGCTGCTAACTATAAAATTTTAAAATGAATAAAGCCTTCAAAATGAATAAAACCTCCAAAATTAAGCAACACTTTTTCAGACAACACACAATGAACCTAAATACAAAATGCTATAAAGTACTGCAGATATTTTTCCAAATTTCCCCCCTTTTCCGATTAAAGAACCGTGATTCATCCATAAATGTCACATGACATATCTCAGGATCTCTCATTTCTCTCAGACAAAATAATGCGTAATTGGAACTGTGTACTTCTCACATTATTGCCAAAGTCCTAGGTAGTAACCTATATCGCCTACCAAAATGTCGCCAAACTCCCTGTTACCATATTCCAAAGATTAGCTGGTGAGATATCTATTTAACATTCTCTAAAAGTCCTACACATAGAATTTAATATAATATGCATAGAATCAACTGATAGACTTCTACTGAAAATATCTGATCCAATATAAAGAAAACAGCCAAAATTCTAAATAACTTCAGTTGTTTCTATAAAAAATGTACAGAAATATTTCAGTGTTTGAAAACATTATAAAATTAACAAAATTTTCTTGTAAGATTAAAAAAGATTGAATTTTAGTTTTTGAGTAGAATTTTTAATTTTGTCTAAATTTTAAAATGAACTGTGACGTGGAGAAAGAATGAAAACTTTCAGAAGAGATGCAATTTTTTGATTTCAGAAAATATTTAAGTAATAATAAATGTATTTTATTTATTTTTTTCGCACACGACAGCACGGTACGAGTGATGATAACTTCTAATAGCTTCGGGAACTAAAAATTTACTTGTTCTTAAATAAATCTCATAAATTTATTGTATGTCTTGGAGAATAACATTCATGGGAGCGGACTTTCTTTCCTTCAAAGTCTCAACCTATGTCTAGGATTTGTTTCCCAGGAAAAGAGAAGCATTTATTCAGAAATTAGAATCAGTTAAGACTTTGTTTACTCACTAAAATAACATTTCACAAGATCAAAAGAATTTTCTTCTGAAATTGTGGTTCACTTTCATAAAGCCTTAACTGCTGATATTTAGGCCCACTGCACTCCCGGCCAAAATAACCATTTATATCAAAAACAGAAGTACCAGAGATGGGCTCCAGTGTAATTTTAGCTCTGGTTATTATTTTTGGTTATTATTGTGTGACGTCTAACTTCATATATTAATATATCATTTCATTAATAAACCTTTTTATTTTTAATAGCATTTATTTAATTGACCATGCATGGACCTACACGTACGAAAATGCACGGAAGTCTCTGATGGAGAATGAAAAACTGATTGACAGAATGTGTTCCATTATGAATATTTCGAACGAAAGCCGTCCAGTAAATGATATAATTGATGATATTCTGAATGAAATGTGGAAGTAAGTATTTTTTGGCAAATTTTTCCCTCAAAAAAAAATTTTTTTTTCCATAATACCAGGTTTTTTGGATTCTATTTGTCGAATTAATACCTTATAAGTAATTGGAAAAGAAATATGCTACTTTAGAATTTTAAATTAGCCCCTCTACTGTCCCTCCCAACAAAAAACATCCTACTTTGGCAAAGATTTTGAATAAAATATTGATTTTGAGTGTGAGCAGATATTTTCTCAAAACGTAAAATTCTAATTTCTGTCTAACATTTTGTTGGTATTTTTCTCAACGAATGGCAACTATATTAATTTTTGCTTTGCTCATTATTTCCATATAAAATGGTTTGTCACTTCTCTAATCTCTGGGAAAAAAATTTTTGCTTCTCAAGAATAGGAAATATCTCTGATCTACTTTAAGATTCTGTCAAAATATCCATCATACTAAAGTTGCCCCCTCCCACCAATCCCCCCCAATTAGAATTTTTTTATATAGTTAATTTTAGGTGTGGATAATTTTTGTATCAGTTTCAGTAATTGTGACTACTTAAAATATAAACTTTGTAGAAGTTTGTTTTGCTGCCAGTCATTTTAAACTATTGGTGCCACTGTAAAATGGCTTGCTTTGTGACAAATCTGGACTATTACATCTGGGTGGCAAAAATTACATTGAATTATAATTAAGGTTGTCTTACAAGTACTGCAAAACCTGAAAAACAGCTTCATATTTTTAAAACATTGTCATACAAAATACTGTGATGAAAAGTAAACTACAGTCAAAAGTCGTTAATCCGGACTCGTCGGGACTTCGGCGATTCCGGATTATAGATCATCAGTTTAAATCTGGTAAGTTGGCATGCAGAAATTATAAAATTAAAAATATGAAACCGTAATTTATGAAATAAAGAACAATTATGATCTAAAAGTTATCAAAATTTACAAAAAAAAAAAAAAAAAAAAGCTTAATATTTATTTGTTTACTTTATTAAACATTTCTTTCAATGTAAGTTATTTAAGTTGCTTCGTTTTTTATGTCATAATACATTCTCTTTAATTCTATAAACAGACATAATTTCTTGTTCAGTTACGAAGTTCTGCAGTTCAAGTCCTATAATTGCTGTGTCGAGAATACCGACTAATTTGTCAGTCGAAATTTTTTCATTTTCAATAACCTCTGTCACTTTCTTCGCTAGACGAGTAATTTGATTTAAATCATATCAAAGACGGAGTACATTGAGATGAAATACTACATTTAGTAAGGAATTATAAGCCAAATAAATTAAAAACATCTGCCCTGAAGATTAAGAATAGTGCTGACAGATCAGCTTCCAATTCATTGCGCACTGCGGCGTTAAAGATAAACAAAGTTTAGATAAACAAAGGATATGCCTTTAACCATTTTATGCAGCAATTCCACTTTTTGTTTAATGGACTTCGAAACATGCTTTCGCTTTGTAGATCCTTTACATATTAATAAATATTATCAGAAATTCTATTTGACATAATCGAAAGTTCAAGCTTACTTTATTAAAAATTGCTCTAACAGTCTGCAAAAAATAATAAGCCGAATCCAATTCGAAGATTAAGGAACAACGCAATCTGCAACATTAACTGAATTAGATAATTTTAGCTTAGCTTATACCGTCCGTTATACATTAAATGCGCATTCGTAAACGTATTTTGAGCACACGCATATTCGCAGCCTACAAACTTTCTGCGCATGCGTCAGATTGACGCATGCGCAGAAAGTTTGTAGCTTTGAGGTCCGGATTATAGATCATTCCGGATTATGGGTGTCCGAATTAACGACTTTTGACTGTACTTATAAATCATTGCATGATAACAGCATCATAGACATGTGTTTTCAGATTTCGAACATTTTAAATGCACATTTAATGATTCATGAGCACAAGAAGAAATAAATGTGTATACCTCTTTGTGTTTAATATTTTTTAATTAACTAATAAATGTTTACTGAAAAAGCAAAAAGAAAACTTGAGCATTCAAAATCTGAAGACAACCAACAGCTAAGTAGTAAAATCATTAAATAAGGGTAGTTTGTCCTGGGTTGGATTCGAGACAAATAGGCGAGCCCATGGGCATTTTCATGGCTTAGCCCATATGTAATCTGGATATAAGCCAGTTTCCTTTAGATCTTTGCCAGCTTAGCCCATATGTAATCTGGATATAAGCCAGTTTCCTTTAGATCTTTGCAAGGCATCTCTCCACTTACCCAGCATAAGCTTTGCATATTTTTGCCACAATCAAATAAATAAAAACAATCAAAATCTGAAAATGAATAAAGGTTAATGCTTCTTATAGCTGTTAGTAGTATTTTGAGCTTGTGTAATTAATCATTATATGCTAGTTAAATTCTTCTTGTTTTTACAAGTCATTACATGAACATTCATTTTAAACTTTTAAAGTCTGAAAACTATGTGCAGTGTTATCATCAGGACTGTGGAGTCATTAGAGAAAATGTCCGACTCCTGGAAAGACTCCGACTCCCTGATATTTATATATATGTGTAAACATATACACATGGGTTACAGCTTATTTTTGTAATATAAGAGAAGTAATAGATGATACAGGAAAAAAAAAAATTGATGGCATAGCAAATTATTTATATTAATTAGCATTTATTGTGGAATGGAAAAACTGGCATTAGTTATTTCTAAGAAACAGTATAGCTTCCGTAAAATCTTCTTTGGAAGTTCATAGATGGCTTTCTTTGCCTTTTTAATTTGTTCGTCATCCAAGAAAATTCAGTGTTTCGGTCCTTCATACATTGAATTCAGCAGGATCTCATTGTCTAGCAAACTAGTTTCTCTTTTCTTCATTGAAGAAATAATTCCTTCTGCAACAAACCCTCCATTTCAGAAAGAACAAGCATCACATTCTTCCATTCTCGCCTCCTGTCAGTTCTTTAGATTGCAGCCTTTTTTGTGGTTACATACGGTATAGAAAGAAGAGTTTCCAATTCTGCAAGATCATTCCACAGTCTTTCTGTTAATGAAACGTTAGGATTATCTACATCTTCTAAAAAAGTTCTCAATTCTAGCAATTCTTTATCATCAAATATGAACTTCCTTATTGGGTTGCTTGATCAATAGTTGCTCCTTTTCCTGCTCGCTTCCTAAGAATGGCATCAATTTCGGGAGCTATTACTGTTTACCAGTGAGATTTGTAACTAAAGGAATCTGTTTAATCACTAATGGCAAATATCACATCCATCCTCCTCTCGTATATTTATTTATTAATATGTCAATAAAATATAAAATAACTATTTATTAATGTATATAGTTCATAAATAAATAGCGAACGGGCTGGTTGCATGGACGTTTTCGTGGTTTTCCCCATGTGTAACGTGCATACGAGCCAGTTCCCCTTAGAAAGTCCTCCACAAAGGCATCCCTCCCCTTAGGCAGATAGCCCTCGTGTGCTTTACCATAATTAAATAAACCAAACCAATCCATAAATAAAAAAAGTTTTTAAACTGCTTTATTTTATCCTGCAATATTTTGTACAATAGTAATTTCCCCCCTTGTGTTATTTTCTCTTCGCTGTTTTTATCATGATGTTTCTGATGGACACCAGATATATCTGAGATAAAATAACATGCCAAATTACAATTATTGGAGGTGTTAAGGTGACAAAAATCAGTGCAATATATATTTGTAAATTTTCAGGACTAGTTTCGAAGGTTGAAATAGAACCGTGTTCAGCTGCAGAAGTAAAAATGATAAAAGAGAAGCTTGTGCTCAAGCAGTAATATAAGAGGAAGAAAGTTAAAATTTGCAGTTCTGTACTTAATAGAGCCTATTCCAAATATTAACTCTGGTATATATATGATTCCTTACCAGCGTGGTTTTATTTACATAGGTCAAACTAAGAGAGCCTTAAAATTTGATGCGAAGAAACATGAACCATGTATTAGGTAGGGAAACACATAGCTCCTCTGTTGTTTAACACTGTTTCATAATTGTTTTCATATTTCATCAGTAGATGGTGCCAATACCTTACCTTCCTTTCTGTCATCGTTATTGCTAAAGCACTAGCTTCTCTTTTGCCATTTGCTCTTATGCAGCTGAAGAAGAAAGTTCTATGTCTAAACTTTCAAAACTGGTCCTTCAAATTTATGAATATAAATCTTTTTGCCTTCATACTTCCAGTAACCATCAACTATATGCCAGTTCCATGTCTTAATAATTTTTGGAACTCGTATGTAAATGCTTTGAAATTTGGAAATTTTATATCTAAATTGTTAACTGTGTTGCATGTATATATTACTTCAGTTGGATTTTTTAGTTTGTCATAAATTTACAAATTAACTGCATTTTCTTTTTTATAATTTATAATAAAAGATCTCTGTAATGTATCCATTATGTTTATCATTATTTTATATTGTGGAAATTTAATAAAAATTTATTACTGTGTGAAAGTACTTTGTGTTGAATTAAAATATTTATCTACTAATATTTTCATTTGTGAAGGTAAAATTTTGTTTCAAGTTTTAAAAATGTTCTTCATATAGTTTTTTGGTGTTATTCAATGCAATCTTATCCCTTTGTTTCAGATACAATAACTCATACAGTGTGTACAGCACAAATCGGGTTAGTGTTTCGTTTCTATTTACGTATTTAATTAACAGTTTATGAAGTTATCTAATTTTGTTAAAGAATTTTTATTTTCCAAACTTCTGTTTTTCATCAGTTTCTGTTTTTATTTTGCATATATGTGTAATTATATTTAGAAGTAAGAGAATAAATGCACATTTCAAAATTTCAAACAGTATCAAAAAGAATTTAATGAAACTCATTAATGCAATCATCAATCAGTTGTATACTGTGTAGATGAGTATTGTCTATAAAATAGCACTGAGATTTAACTGTGCATTTTACGCTTCAAGATCTCTTCATGCTCTGAATAGTTAGGAAGCTTTTGTCAAACATAAAAGATGTATTTCTAGATGATGACACCTCTACTCTGGAGCCCATTTTCCAGGTATTGGAGGTTTGTTACAACAGTATTCTCAAACTGATGGCCTGCAGGTCGCATGCAGCCCCCAAAGCTATTTTATTCAGCATGTGAATACATTTCTTGTAAATTAATTAGCATCATTATGACAAAAATTTGAAGAAAAAGTCTAACATTTTAATGATTTGGAGTCCAATTTGCCATTACTTTTATTACGAAAAATGAAACTCTCCAGAATATCTAGAAATGGAGCTAATTAATTTATGCTATCATATAAATCTTATTCTAAGATTTGAAGACACAAATTTGATTAACTCTTACTAGTAGTTGTCAAAAAATAAATATTCTCAGTTAGGAATTTTTTCAATAAGAATAATCGATTTGCTTGGGAGTACATTTACATGTAAACAGTTTTTTCCATAGTTGAAAATTAATAACTCTACGAAAATAACCAGACTGCCGATGAGTATTTACAATTTCTGATGAAGATGCTTTCTAGCAGTTTTCTACCTCATGAAAATTGAAACTCCATGAGGTGTTGCAAGTTTCGTTATTTATTCTCAAATTTTGTCCCTGTTGAGAAGTTATATATAAATATATATTTTTTAGTTTAAGTTAAAAGTAAGTTACTTAGTGGTTACTTCAATATATTACAATTATTAAAATGAAAGTCAATCTGAAAATTTAATATTTAGCTGTCAGTGCATTTGAACTACAAATTGTGACCAATAGAAATATCTTGCAGATACTAACTTTTTAATTTCAAACAGAAAATAAGTAAAATTAATTTTTTTTTCTTTGCATTATTTTTTAATTTTGATAAGTATGTAGTAAAAATTTTTTAGTTTCATTAATATGTTTTGTTAACAAAGAAACAAATCTTTCCCCCCCTTTAATTGCAGCCATCAGCTACTTACAGATTATGCATATATGGTCCATGTGCAATCTAAGTTTGAGACCCCAGTTTTGTAAAATCCTTAGTTTCTCTCCTAATGAAGGTATATCGAGAATCAGTGTCTAGGTTGAGTGTAGACTTGTCACTGGAGAGAACTACAGATATGAACTTTGTTTTAAGGGCGATGTTTTTTGCACCATGCCAGATATGTTCTCTTATGTGAATAAGTGAATTGGATGCAAACATTATGTTTTTCTATCAAAGAGTCTGCTTTCAAAGCCTTTAGGAAATGGTTAGCCTCAAACCCGAGGTTTCAAGAACAAGAGAAAGCTATGTGTGCATACCAGTCCTTTGGTGTCTGGCGTGAAAATCCCAAATGTCGTCTTCATTAGGTAGCATGGCTTTACAAGGCACTTAGACCTTCTGTATATGGATTTGGTCTTCTGAAACTTTTCACAGATTGTAGACAATATTATATGTATAAATATCAGCTTATTTGCAACCTGAACTCGGTTGGTCCAACGATTTTCCTGGCCCCTTACTTTATTGTTAGTGCAAGAGTTCTCAACCTGCAGGGAATTTTGTAATTTTAGGAGAGAAATGTGGCTAGCCTTTTATTTACCTGTTATGTATATAGTTTTAAATTATGAATGTAGAAAACTAATATTATTCAGGTTTTGGTATTTATCAATATTTACTATACATTTTGTTGTTTAATTCCTAAAGCATTAAAAAGCAATCTAAATGTAATTAAATATGTATTTTTTCAAGTTTTTTAAGAGAAAAAGGGAGAAGAATGATTTTCTAGCAGTGATGAAAGAGGTGCACAGGGTAAAACAAGTTGTGAGAACCCTTTTACTAGTTGTTACTCATTTTACTATACTACTGCTTTAACAAATCTCAGAAAATTTTGCAGCTTTAATGATTATCTCCAATGTGTGTGTGCAAAGTTAGAACAAGCAAAACTTTTTTTAACAGATATTTCAGTGCCACCTATGTGTACAAGTACAATTACATTGTTTGATAAGAGTGTAGTATGTGATCCACCACTTCTAATTGGTTAGTTGTTTCTCAGATGGCACAACTAAAACACTATTTTTAAATATGAAAATAATTAAGAATACATATAAAGAAGTTCCATTAATTTGTTTAACAACCCATTAAATTTTGAATCCTGTTAAATTTAAACTTTAATAACTTCGTAATTTAAAAAAATTTTTAAAATCTGAAAGATTTCAGATTTTACATCAGGCCCAAAGGAGCGTTTTTTGAATGTTTTGTGTGTTACCTTTATTTATTAAATATCATATTCTTCGCACTTAAACCATAAAATTTAGTTCAACAGTAATATTGCAAAAAAATTTTAAAATGAGCATGTCTTTAGAATTTTCGATACACGGTCTCGCACGCTGGAGATAAAAAAAATTCCCTCCTCCCGAACAGTGTTGCCATTGCTCACTTTGAAATCGTTGATTTTGTTAATCAAAAATTTGTTAACGTTTTATAAAATAGGAAATTGATAATAAAACAGATTCGAGCTTCCAGATGCCCATATTTGGGTAGAAACCTTCGTTATTCAAAATTTGATGTCTCTAAGGTACTGTTGTTTTATCACAATGTGAGAAAAACATATGTACACTTATGCCAATTCTTCATTATTAAATTTTTTTTAAATATAATACAGGGCTATAATATTTGGTGGCCACAGTTTGAAAAGTAAACCGACATTTACCGTAAACAAACACAAAATGCTGAAACGAAGTTAATAGCCCTTCTGGGCTGACGCCCTTTGGGCTAATAATAATAGCTTCATAAAATAAAATTCAGTGGCTTTCATATTTGAATGGGAAATAAAATGTTTGGAAAAGAAAGAGTTACAGCAACAACCACACTTATTGGTGTCTTTCTGAAAAATAACTAACTAACCAAACATGGTAGATTGTATACTATATCATATATTTGATATCAGGGTTATGATATTAGATTGTATTATTATATGACCACATATTTTATGGTTTTATTCAGTATTTTTTGAGAAATTTCGAAAAAAAAAAAAAGTGTTCATTTTCTTAGTTTTGAATACTAGTATATGGAATACCGTATACAAAGAAAAACTTTAATGAATTTAAAATTTTGTTTGAAAAGTAAAATCCTGCACTATTGTGATAAAGATAGATAAAATAATATTAATATGTAAAAATTTCCTGTTTATATGACTTTTATTTGTTTCTTTCTTTTCATTTGCATCTTGTTTTTTAATATTTATTTTTGAAATTAATTTTCTGTTCACACGTCAGGGAATTATTTCACATATCTCAATTTTCAAGTTTTAAATACAGATTTTATAAAATTGTAAAATAGAATAGGAATTCTGATCATATATGCTAAATGACAAAACATGCTTCTCATGAATTATTGATTTTTATACCATGAGGTTTCAGTTCCTCTTAATGAGTTGGGATCTCTGTATGGTATCAGCAATAATTCTCATATTGTATTCTTTAGCTTTGTATTTTAATTAACAGTTTCAGTTTAATTATTTATAAATTCCAATTAATAATTTTCACAATAGTACACATTTGCATATATATATATGCACATTAAAGTTTGCTTTATATATATATAAAGCAAAACATTTTATCCTTTCTTGTATGTATCTTAATTTAAATTTTCTTGGGTTTTCAATTGAAAGAACTGTATTTCCTTATGAATTAGTTGAAATTTTTAATTTATGACTACTATCTTGTATAGTCATGACAATTTTGAACAATTCTTCCTTATATGAGAATTTTAAAATGAACTGGTGTGCATAGCTGTATTAGTTAATATTTAGGAAGATTTGTTAGTCATATACTGATTTGTATTCTTAATACTTTAACTGCTAGGCAAATGTTGTGGCGTAAATATCTATAACTATAATACTTGGCAGTAAAGTGATGAGGTATATTGTTATGAAATGTACAGGCGTGGTAAGATAGCTTTCCCGCAAACCAGTTTTAGGGTTGCCATAAAAAGGGCAAAGGAAGGCATGGTTATCACATATGGCGAGATCACCCATTTGGCGACAAAATTGGCAATATCCCATGGACGGATGGAGAACCTTCTGGAATGAATTCTTACCGGGTTAGCCCAGAATGTTCTCAGAATGAAGTCGAAAGTTATATAAACCCTGCTGGTTCACAGTCAGTGGGTGGGTGTGCCTCGTCTAGAGAGTTCAAGATAGTTGGTGTCTCATCTACCGAGTCAGTCCGTGTGGAGGCGATCGAGTTGACAGCCCGGCAGCGAGTGCCGAGTGCATCAAAAGAGTCTCTTTGTATATCGTGGTTAGTGCATAGTCAAGAGAGCATGTTGAGCTCCGGGAACGACTGAACTGAAGAGTCGGGAGCTGTGCTCTGTATGTTGTCGATCGCATCACATGTTGTAGCATGGAGATACATGGAGTTCCGAGAGTGACCGAGCAGAGTCGGGAGCTGTACTCTGGTGCTTTGCAGTGAAGCTGTCTCCACCGTTATTGCCTGACATTGTGAAGTCTGTGTCGCTGAACATGTCAGCCTGTTTATAACAGTTCAACGACTGTAAAAGTCATTTTAGAGCTGTCCTGATTAATATTGGTAATACTGATTAATATAAAGTGTGTTTCGATATCCCATCAACTGCTGTCATCATTATTCACTCCAAATCCACACAAACCCCGTATGAAAATGAAGGAAGAAAATAACATAACAACTGGTGTCAGAAAAGAAAAATGCAACAATATGTAACACAATAGTGACAGTTTGATGAAGTATACATTAACACTATATTCGTATTAGTTAGATTCTGGTGAATTTGGTGTACTCACAAATATGTTAACTGTTTGGTTACTTTTATGGATAAATTTAAGAAATAGATACCCTCTGCTGTAGATAATCAACTACTCTCTTCTGTTAATGGTTGGTATATTCATAACTATTTTATTAATTTGTTAGCTTAAATTTCTATAAAATAAGCTAACAGAATTTTAACTCGTAGAGCTATTAATCTTAAGCAATGGTTGTCCTCTTAAAAGTCAGCAGTTTCCTGTACAGACCAGTTTATGAGTTGTTGGACAAGACATAAAGATTTCTCAAAATCATATAGTAACAATAAAAGGTGGTGGGTTTTTTCCCCTCCTCAGTTGTGTGTTTAGTTTCCAGTTATTTTCTAAAAATTTATGTCCTATGTAAATGTCTAAAGAAAGATTTATTTAAATTACACTATTTTATTAATTATTACTATTTGTTTTTATTTCTCTCTTCCTCGTTTTTTTAGCCATAGTCTTCAATACTCTAAGCAGAATTTTAATGAAATGGAAGATTACCACACCAACATAAAATTTAAAATTATGGAAGGGGGGAACTTGGTTTCATGTATATTTGAATAAAACTATCAGTTTCAAGTGTAGTCAGATACAGGTCCCTCTTCTTCAGGACTACTTCTTCAGGCGCAAAAGCATTTTGCTGGGATATAGAGTTTATTCAAAATTTGTACCAAACTAAGGGGGCTCTTTTTGCCTGAGTTTAAGAATTTGAATGCATTTTAAAAAGAATTTAATGCAATTTTGTGCTTGTGGATAACACAAAAAAGATTTTCAAAAAATTTCTTTGTCATGTGATCAGTATCTTTTTTGTTTTAGGAACATGAAGTAACACGATGTTGGTTCATCATGGATGAGTTTGGTTCACGTATCAACCATGCAGACGAACCGACATTTGAAGTAGTGCCTTTCTTCTATTCTGACGAGCTCTTGATGTATTCTTTGCTTTTTCCAAAAATCAATGTTGATGTAGGAGGTAAGGTTTCCCACACCATTCGTAAGATATTTTTGAAGAGTAGATTTTGTTATAGAGAATTTGGAATGAAAACTCACAATTTTTTATCAGTTTGAGAACAGCATGTGATTGTATTAACAGATAACTTTTCATGAAAGCTATTCATGAATTGAAAATTCCAGAAAAACTTGTTGCACTTGTAGCCCTGACTCTTGAAGAAACCATAATACAAGTATGCATACAGGATGATTACACAGAACAGCTTGAGGTAAAAAATGGAGTGTAACAGGGGGTTACATTGGCCTACCTCTTGTTTAATATAACACTCAAAAAAGTTATTAGAGACTCAAAGATCAATATTAGAGGAAATATTTTTACTCAGTTTCAAATACTGGTTTATGCTAATGACATTGGCATTATTGCCCGAATCTCGTCGGTTCTCAAACAGGCATTTTTGGCTTTGGAACAAATTGCTAAAAGAATTAATATTTTTAAATGAAATTGAAATTAAATATTTACTTTCCTTAAAGTCTGAATTACAACTTAGTCACTTAGAAATTGGCAATTATAAATTTGAAAAACTTAACACTTTTTACTTATTTGAGGATGGATATAAATAATAAAAATTTGTTGGCCCCAGAAATATATAAAAGAATCATTGCTGCAAATACCGTATATACCCGCGTATAAGTCGAGATATTTTGGACAAAAAAAAAAGACTTCAAAGTGGGGGGTCGACTTATACGCGGGGCCATAAAAAATTAAAAGAATCGGAAGTTCAAAACTTTCTTTATATAATGCAGTTGTTTTCTTCCCGCACTCAAATTGGACAACTTATCAAGTAAGTCACTTACTTGAAGTAATTTCATGACTTAAATTATGCGACGAACTAATCACAAAGTTTCATACTTTAACTAGAGTAAGTTTCGATTAAACCAAAGAATTTTCGGCCCCCGAACAACCGATCAATATTGAGCAATAAGAAAGTTTCGCCAACACACCAAGAAAAGAGAAATGCAGATAGTTTTTACGTACGTATAAGTCTTTATAATAGTTATTGTTCATTCATGAAATACTTTTGTTAACAGGCGTACACGTCAAAAACACCTAAAAACGACTGTGGCCGTAATTCCGCGAGGATTGACATCCATCATTCAACACCTAGATGTCTGCCTCAATAAGCCCTTCAAAGTAAATGTTAGAAAATATTGGGCAGAGTGGATTAGTTCCAGTTGACCAACATTTACAAAGGGAGGCAACATTAAAACGCCCAATATTACATTAATTGCTCAGTGGGTTAAAGATGCTTAGAACGAAATACCCTCTGAAATGATTATAAAATCATTTAAAAAATGTTTTATTAGCAACGAACTAGACTGCATGGAAGATGATTCTGTTTTTGAAAGTGAAAATGACGATGAAGGCTCTAGTAGTGATTGTAACAATACAGAGTTCAAGACTGAAAATATGTATGATGACGAGCCAATGACTACAGAAGAGTTCTATGAAATGTTTGGCGAATCTGACCATGAATCGGACGTTGAAGGATTTTGATTTTGTTTATTTATCAAGGTATTTTTTATCGTATATTTACTTTTTTTTTCTCAGATGATTTTGAATAAATGTAGTACTTAAAAAAAAAAATTTTTGAAGTTTCTCGATCGATTTCGGAAGGGGGGGGCGATTTATACGTGGGTTTCTTATTTTCTACGAATTTTTTATGTTGAAGTGGGGGGTCGACTTATACGCGGGTATATATGGTAGATGCTTTTTATGGCCTAAAAAAAATTTAAAATCTGGCTTTCTTAAATTAACAACTAAATTGTGACTTTACAAATGTCTTATAAGCTCTGTTTTGACTTATCGTCAGAGACTTGGACATCGACTGATGAGAAAACTCTGGGAATTTTTGAGCGAAAGATCTCGTGTTACATTCTTAGTGGGGTCCAAGTGAATGGATCATGGAGAAGATCTAATGTAGAATTCTATAAAATTTACAAACAATCTGGTATTGTAAAATTTGTCAAATTACAGAGACTTAAATGGGCTGGCCATCTGGCTAGAATGAATGAAGATCGTTGCTGCAGGAAAATCTTTTTGGCAAAGCCAATGGGAAATAGACCTTGGGGCACACCTCCACTAAGATGGATTGATTGTGTCAAAAAATATCCTAATATTTTAAAGGTTAAAAAAGTGGGAAACAGTTGCCAAAATTAGAGATACTTGGAGAAGACCAGGGCCCACTCAGGGCTTTCGAGCCATTGAAGAAGAAGATTTTGTTGCTGAAAGTATTAATTCACTGGAAATTCCTTTTTAACATATTCGCTGAAATAGAAATGACATTTCCATTTCAGCGAATATGCCAGATCACAAAATAGTGTTTTAATGTTAAAAATGTTCCATATATTTTGCTAGTAAAACTAGAAAAATCAAGTTCAATTCTGGATGGGATGTAGGGCACGTCATTAAGTGGGAATGGAATTTAACTGCTGCTGGAGAAAGTTAGGAATCATTCTTGCACTATTTTTGCAAGTAATGGGAAAGACTGCCGATTTAAACGAATTTAATAGAGGGCAGATTGGAATGGTCCGAAGGATCGGAACTAGTACCTCCGAAACCATACAAATGGTAAGTTATCCACGATCTGCCATTGGTAGTATTTATGCGAATTGGATAAATGATGGTGAAAGCATCAGTAAACACCGAGATTTTGGATGTCCACGCTTCATCAAAGAAAAAGGATGTTGGAGACTGTCCTGCTTATTACAGCAAAACCAGCGCCAGACAGCGACTCACTTGATTGCCCAATACAATACAGGCCCAAGTGCAAGTGTTTTGGAACACACAGTTTAGCGGACAGTGTTGGATATGGGACTGCGCAGCAGACATTCCACTCGCACCTCTGTTGTCCAAGCATTATTGTCATGTTTGCTTACAGTAGGCCCAGAAATGTCGAGACTGGACCATAGATAAGTGCAAGACTGTTGTGTGGTTGGACAAATCGTGATTTCTCATTCATCACATCGATAGTCATATAAGGGTATTCTGTCTTTCAGGTGAACAGTTGCTGCCCCTTGTACATCAGGTTATACACAGGCTGACACAGTAACAGTATTGTGCTTTGGTGGACATTTTCATGGGCGGCTCTGGAACTCTTAGTTGCAATAGAACAGACTATGAAAACTGTAGACTATCTGAACATAACTGTAAATCAGTTGCACCCTAAAAGGGCATCTGTCTTCCCAACTGAAAATGGAATATTCCAGCAAGACAACACCCCATGTCACAAGGCTTGAATTGTGTTGAAGTGGTTTGAGGAGCAAAAGAATGAATTCCAATTAATGTGCTGGCCACCTATCTTACTGGATCTTAACCTAATAGAGCACATTTGGTATGTCATGGAGTGCCAGCTCAAAGCTCAAATATACCATGTCAGAATATCTTGACTTTACGTGACTGCTTTGTAGACATTTGGTACAATCTGTCTCCAGTCATATACGAAAAACTTGTTGCATCTATGCCAAAATGAGTTGCAGCTGCTTTGCAGGCCAAAGGTCCCACAACATGTTATTCAGTGGGTGGTCATAATGTTTTGCCTCGTCAGTGTATACAAAGCATGAAAAAAATGCAAAAATTATAAATTTATTGCAAAGAAAATGTCATTTGTGTAGGAAAGAGTACTGCATTATCACTTATGGTATGTTTCAGAGCAGTTCGATCAATATCCCGGTTTATTTCGGCAGTAACGGCACTCGTGCATAATATGTAAGTGTAGCCATGGGTAATTTTTAAAGTGGTGTTTTCTATTTTGGATTTCAACATTTCTGTAGTGTACGCCACAATATCAGTATCTCCTTCCAATTTGCTCAGAGTCCGAACATATTCTTCATCGTCTGTGCTTTCCTAATTGAAAAGGTCACTATTTCCTAATAACTGTAATATTTTGCCATTGGTCTAAAGTTGATCTGTCAGCACTATCCTTATCTTCAGGGCAGATGTTTTTATTTTATTTGGCTTATAATTCCTTACTAAATGTAGTATTTCATCTCAATCTTTCGTCTTTGATATGATTTAAATCAAATTCCTCGTCATAATAATTCGCTTCCGATAGTGAAGAAAGTGACACAGAGGTTATTGAAAACGAAAAAATTTCGATTGACAAATTAGTTGGTATTCTCGACACAGCAATTATAGGACTAAACAGCGGAACTTTGCAACTGAAGAAGAAATTATGTCTTTATAGAATTAAAGAGAAAGTATTATCACATAAACAAAGCAAACTTAAACAACTTACTTGAAAGAAATTTTAATAAGTAAGCAAATAATGTTAAGCTTTTTTTTTTTGTAAATTTTGATACCCTTAGATCATAATGTTATTTATTCATAAATATAGTTTCATATTTTTAATTTTATAATTTCTGCAGCCATTCTTACCAATTAAATCATGGCGCATAATCGGAATTGACGAGTCGGGATTAATGACTTTTGACTGTATTCGGTGCAACATTCTGAATTCTTGCAACAAGTCCTTTATTAATTCTAACCTTTTTAGCCCAGAAGGCAAGAAGAAGAAGAAGTGTTAGCCCAGAAGGGCTGTTACTCTCGAAATGGCATTTTGCGTTGAATCACGTAAATGTTATGTATCACTTTTAAAATTGTTGCCACTAAATATTATCGTCCTGTATTATACACTTTTGGTCATTAAAATTGCAACACCAGGAAAGAATGACTTAATGAACATCAAAATCTCTTGAAAGGAAAAAGTTGGGATATGCAAATGATTAGTGTTTCAGCGTATTCAGATGGCGCAGGATTGAGTAACGGCATCTGGAGTACCGCATAAAAGAAAGGTTGTGTAGTGATTTTGCATTCGGAAGGCACTTTGTAAGGTCGGAATTTGTCCAGAATATCACGTTATGCCTTGAATAATAAGAAATTCTTACCAGCAAGTGTCGGAATTCGATAGAGGCAAGATCGTTACCTATCGAAAGTGTTAATCATTGTTCCATGATATCGTTCATCACACCGGTCGACATTCAACCATTGTCATGTGAATATGAAATCAATGGGTTGCTGAGGATCATACTGAACAGCATGCAGGATCTCGATGACCTCCCATGGCTAATGCCCAAGAGGACAGACATATTGTGAGGTCAGCCCTGCAAAACCGTACAATCACATCACGGATCATTAGTCAGGAAATGGGCATGTTTGCGGCACTCCCATTATTTGCTCATATGGTAGGTCTACGTTTGCAGCAGAATGGACTATCAGCACGGCGACCATTACTTCGGTTTTCCTTGACGGTGACTATGGTGCACATCTCTGGTTCGGATCCATGGTAATTTAAATGCAGATCTGTATATTTCTGACTTCTTATGTCCAATGGTTGTGCCCTATCTTCGAGGTCTGCCAGGCGCCTTCTTCCAACAAGATAATGCAAGACCACATGTTGCACGTCATGCTCTAACCTTCCTGCTTAATGCACAGGATATTCGATTGCTGCCCTGACCTGCATAGTCTCCAGATCTGTCACCCATTGAAAACATCTGGTCATGGGTTTATGAGAGACTGGCCCACCATCCCTTCCAGTTAATAGGTTAATAGCATAGAATGAGTTTCCCGTTTCTGTCATCCAAGCCTAGTTCGACTCCATGCCTAACCGGGTAAGGCCTGTTTTTGCAGCCAGGGGTGACAGCTGTTTCTACTAATTTCACACTCCTGTAAACCCCCAAACTGCTAACAAATTGAATCATTCTGTCTTCATGCCATACTGTTTACATACATTATTTTTATTTTATTTTATTTTATTTGTATTTGCTTTCCTTCTTTACAGTTTTAATGGCCAGCAATGCATTTAAGGAAACTAAATAATGAAGAATCTGCATGAATGTATGTATGTTTCTCGCACTGTGAAAAAACAACAGTACCTAGGGTCAGTATAATTGGTTAGTACAGTTTCTGCGAGATTCTTCAGCTCGGAAATTCTGGTTTTGGATATTGCAATGCACTTCTTTCAGATGTTTTGAATTCTGCCATTTTGTTTTATTTGCTGCTGATGCTCACAACAATAATGCAAGTCAACCGCCCCCCAAATTTTTATTGTTGCTTCAATGATTTTGTTAGCCCATGCACATTTACCTGACAGCAACCATCCTTCAGGAAATGCTGGTGTAAATAATAATCTGCAATTTTTCAGACTAATTCTTATAAGTTTTTTTTTTTTTTTTTTGTCTTCTTGTTCGGTGGATATATTTTTATACCCACGTTTGTCTAAATGCTTTGGTGAATCTTCATTTTTGTTATCCCCCTTTCTTTCTTTTTTTATTGACTTATTTTTTAATCTTACAACCTGAGGTGAAACTTTAAGTTCTTTTTTGTTGTATCTTTTTATTTAATATGAATATTTTTTATCAATATATGGATTTGGCCTCTTAATTTCTCATTCGAATCCTTCTGTTTGAATTATTAAATAAATTTATTAGATAATCATGCTAAAATAAATAACTAAGTAATAAGTAACTAAAATAAACTAAGGAGCAGCAACGAACTGAAATGAATGAATAAAATTAATTAAATCTAAAAATTAAATTTATTATGTCAGTGAAGTAATAAAATATTGTAACTGATCAAATAAAATCAACTTTGTATTTAGCTTTGTGTGAAACAGTTAAAAGTCAACAATTTCTTATTTGTTGTTTGAGCGAATGCAAACTATTATGTAAATAAAGAACTACTAAGTAAACAGAAGCAGCCAGGCTGCCTGATGTGTTTCGTGGACTTGCTTCTTCACCTTTAAAGGTACATAACTTTTCGGGAAAGTCTATGTCATTTCTGTGTCCTCTTTTCCTGAGATAGATGAGCAGTTCCCACACCAGAATGGCCTAAGACTACTGGAATGTCCTGGTTTCATAGCAAACCTTAGATTCTCTATGAAAGATTAAAGATTTTAATGAAGCTACCAGCAACTGGCTCAAGTGTTCCAACCATAACTAATTTATTAAGACTGCCCTCAGTTACTGTTTTATGGATCTTTGCTATCTCAGACTCTTGTTGTGGATTCTGGATTTTCTAAATTGATAAGACATCCTCTGTAGCAGAAAGAATGAATGCAAGACAAAACTTTTCTTGTTGAATTTATTGTGTTAAAGGAAATTTAAAATTATGTTGCGCTTATTATTTAAAAGCCACAATTTCAGGTAATATTTTGTTGGTAATTAATTTTTTTAATTTAAAAATTTATTTATATATTTTATTTTTTCAGAAGAAGTTACTTGTAGATTTCCAAGATTAAGAAATACCATGTCGGAAGATATGCAGAGAGCTTTAAAATTCCCATGGGAACCCTGTGATTTATCTGATGTAACTTTTGCCCAATCTGAACCTGATGAAGATTATTTTAAAGTATGCTAATGCTGATTTCTATTATTTCCTATGTTATTTGAAAAAAGGAAACTAAGCATATATGTAACAGTAAAACACATTTTTCACCATAAATTATTATAAATGACTGTTTTGTCTCTTTGTGTTTATTTTGATATTGACAACTGAAGTAACAATATTTTGTAATTATTTTAACATAAATTTGTAGAGTCATGAGGCTGTTTTGAAGTAGTAGATTTGAAAAACATGCAGTGTCCTCTCTGGGACTCAAACCTGGACCTCTTGAATATGCATCAACTGTGCTTCCAATTACACCATGAAGATATTACATATAGAAAGAAGGGAGAAAATACCATATGTAGTTCGCCTTTTAAAAGGTGATTGGGGATGAGGGGACCCAATTGCTAAATGCTGGTGGTGACAAATTATCATCCACCACCTTTTAGTTCGGCACCACTGTGGAATCATTAGGTTATTTTAAAGCAGGAGACATGAAAAATGAGCAATACTCTTGCTTGAACTCGAACCTGGACCTTTCAAATATGCACCGAGTATGCTGCTGTTACACTATGTAGGCATGCGGAAAGAAGGGAGAAAATTCCTTATAAATTAAAGAGATAATTAATTTACTGCTAAGAAAGATGATATTTCTTGCAGTTTTTGTCAATAAATGCAAAATTCTAATTATTTTTAATATCTGAAATTGAGAAATATTACTACACGTAAAAATGAATAATTCTATCGTTGAATTCGAAGTTGATTTAGTGAGTTATTTTACCATATTATTTGTTGATTACTAATGATTCTTGACTACTGTATATTTTTTCTGTACAAATTCTTCATTGTCAGTTTTCCTCTTATATTACATGTATTTTGTAATTGTGCGCTGTCTAAAGAATTATCTTCGTTTTGCAGACATAGTCATCAATTTCTAAAATCCACAATTTAATTTTATATGGGAATATTAATCTATTCATGTATTACTTCATCTGTGTGTTTGAAAGGATTTCTTGAATTACAGAAGTTAAAATATCACTGGATTATTTGTTGTTGATTCATGGAAAATATTCAAAAAAAAAGTGTTATGTTTCTTCTGCAGTTTTTTTATTTTCATATTTAAAACAAATCTGAACCTATTTTAGTTGATTTATTTTAAAAAATGTATAACTGTTAAAAAAATCTAAAATTTTTTACATTTATTTAATATTTTTATGCACTGTACTTCCATTTATGCCATTTCTTAAAATAGAGAAAATAATCTTTATGAAAACACTATTAGGATTTGTATCAATATCAGTTTGGATCTGGCAAACATTTGGACCTTATAGCAGGTTTCCCTCTTGCCATGCTCATTGTAGAAAATAAGAAAAATGAAAAATTGTTAGGGAAAAAATATAATTTCTTCTTAGAAAATTAGGTAAAATTCTTATGTTTGCTGAAAGAAATGGTCTGTTCCTATTTTCTTTAATAATAAAACTCCCCATCAAAAACCAATAATAAAAATATTATGTGGTTGTTCATTATAATAAATAAATGTTTTAATTAAATACTTTTAAAATTTTGAGACTGGATAGAGTGACATAAAATTAAGTATCTTATGTTCAAAAGTTTATAAGTCCATACTTGGATATAGAACCCATACTGAGGATATATATTAAATATGCTATGTGATTAAAATTGCATGTAGTAGCTTCCTTATGTTTAAAATGTCTAATTTTTTAAACATAATATTTATATGTATGTAATGTGTTTTAAGTCTGGAAGACGTTTGGAGAATCTTCCAAAAGTCGAAGAAGTGCTTCCACCGGTGATAGATGAGGAAAAAATTACCGTATATACCGAGTATCCGGAAGTCGCAGAGTTCTTGACCCATCCTCGTTTTCGAATAGTTTCAGAAAAAAAAGATGCCCGTGTGCTGTGGCTGTCGGAGCTCCTTTATGACTATAAGTATGATATTTCTTATTTTATTCTGAAGTGAAGTTTGTTTCTTGATAGTATTACTTATGTTGTGGAAAACTTTGCTTCACCCTCAAAAAGTGCCTTTTTTGAAACATAGAAAAAGATTAATAGGACTGAGCATTTATTAATATGTAGGACATTTAGTAATTTAATGACTCAATAATTTGTAATGAGATTTTGTGTGGCTTTCATGGAAAATAATCATAAGGAGCAAATTTATGTAATTTTATTTGACTCTGTGTGAGAAAAAAATGTTACCTATAAGACTGCGCTCATAGCTTTTTCCCTGATGTTGTTACAGATGAAAGATTTTTAGTGTAGATTTTAGCATCCATAGAAAAAACTCTATTAAAAATCAAGACTAGCAGTAGGGATCAGCAATGAAAATTTTATCAAAGTGATAACAAAACAAAACAAAAGAGCAAATTGCAATTAATTTTATTACAGTTTACAAACAGAAAATTTTTATCTCTCACATGAATTTGACTTTTTAGTGAGTTTAAAGCCTTGTAATGATTTTCTTTTCCCCCCTTTTAAGGTTAGGATTAAATTCTGTTGGTAATTTCCTCTTTAAAGAAGATTGTCATAAAATCTAAAATTTTTTGTGCAGTTAAAGATCTTCTTGTGGAAATATCTTTATTGAGATAAAAGCTCTTTCTATTTTTAAGCTGTGAATGGCAATTGGTCTCCAAAATGATTTTAGCTTTCTTTATACTGTTACGAATTTAATAAGCAGTTCTGTTAAAGCCATTTTGACAAAATCCAGGGTATAATTTATTTTTATTTTAAGTTTTAATATGAAATTAAAATGTTTGTGTCCTTTATCTCTCTCTTTCTAGTCATCTTTATTATACACAAAATATGTGATAAATATTTAAAAAGTATTTACAGTCAAAAGTCGTTAATTCGGACACTCATAATCTGGAATGATCTATAATCCAGACCTGAAAGCTGAAATCTTTCTGCGCATGCGCCGCATTGACGCATGCGCATAGGCGTTTACGCGTGCGTGCAAGACCTTTACGACTGTGCATATGCGTGTGCGCAAGCGCAGAATACGTTTTCGCGTGCACGTTTAATGTATAACAGACGGTATAAGCTAAAATTATCTAATTATCTATTTAAGTTAATGTTGATAATTGCATTGTTCCTTAATCTTCGAATTGGATCCAGCTTGTTATTTTTTGCAGACTGTAAGAGCAATTTTATAAAAGTAAGCTTTAACTTTCGATTATGTCAAATAGAATTTCCGATGCTGGAGCTTCCAAATGATATACAAAACGAAAGTATGTTTCGATGTCCATCACACAAAAAGTGGAATTCCTACAAAAAATGGATAAAGGCATATCCTTTGTTTATCTAACCATTCCGAAATCTGTTTATCAATTTCACGCTGCTCTGCGCGGGGAGGGGGGGGACGTCGTGGCACGCAATGAACTGGAAGTTGACCTGTCAGCACTATCGTTATCTTCAGGGCAGATGTTTTTATTTTATTCGGCTTATAATTCCTTACTAAATGTAGTATTTCATCTCAATGTACTCCATCTTTTATATGATTTAAATCAAATTCCTCGTCATTATAAATATCACGAATACAAATCAAATAGTTTTCTGGTTGCAGTTTTCTAATTTCAGCTATGCGTAGTGCTTTACGCAAGCGCGTTGAAAGAAATGTTTAATAAAGTAAACAAATAAATATTAAGCTTCTTTTTTTGTAAATTTTGATACCCTTTAGATCATAATTGCTCATTATTTTATAAATTACGGTTTCATATTTTTAATTTTATAATTTTTGCATGCCATCTTACCAGATTTAAACTGATGATCTATAATCCGGAAAAATCGATAATCCGGAATCGCCGAAGTCCCGACGAGTCCGGATTAAAGACTTTTGACTGTATTACTCTTTCTTAATTTGATAAGCAGTTCATTATGCTTTGGAAAGGAAATTTTTCCTTTTGGTCCTGGGAGCTCAAAAAATTTTTAAGTTAAATTTCAATGGAATATTGTAGTAATTAATTGTATTTTCTAAATGTAATTTTATGCTTCTATTGCTAGATGACTAACTCTGTAATTTTTTTTTTTCCTCAGGAATCTTATAGACACTTACCCACTTCGACCTTATGTAAACCAGTTTCCATCAGAGCAAGTTATAATAAACAAGGACTTGTTAGCGATAGTCTGTCGAAGATCTTGTGCCCCGGACGAGATGTTTGACATGAATACTTTGCGGTCGAATCCAAAGTGGCTGCCCACCACTTTCAGCTTGTTGATAGAATTACCCCAGTTCATCTCGTACTTTCAAAACAGAGAAAAACGGTATGCATTTAAGTGATATCCTTAAATTTATGGAGTATAAAGTCTGAAAACCAGAATCCTCGCGAGTTCTGGTTTTCAGAAATTTCCAGATTTTTTTATCATTGGTTTAAATCTAGTAAGATGACATGTAGACATGGCAACATTGCAGCTTCACTTACTGTTAATGTCAGATAGAATAATGCTAGTCCCTGAATGAGACTAGTGCCAAAGCTAGTATGACTGCACCAGGTGGCAGAATTCAGGGACAGCAAACAGCAAAAATTAGGAATAGCAAGTTTTTAAAATTTGAGAGCGATACTCGGCCGAAGAATTAAAAGGCAGCAAAATTGTTAGAATTTAGCAACAGAATTTGGAATCCACAAAGATTGTATGGGGTGGTGGCAGAACACATTTATGCCCCACATGCTGCCTTTTGTTGAGTACAGTCAAAAGTCGTTAATCCGGACTCGTCGGGACTTCGGCGATTCCGGATTATCGATTTTTCCGGATTATAGATCATCAGTTTAAATCTCGTAAGATGGCATGCAGAAATTCTAAAATTAAAAATATGAAACCTTAATTTATGAAGTAAAGAACAATTATAATCTAAAAGGTATCAAAATTTAAAAAAAAAAAAAAAAAAAGCTTAATATTTATTTGTTTATTTATTAAACATTTCTTTCAATGTAAGTTGTTTTAAGTTGCTTCGTTTTATGTGATAATACTTTCTCTTTAATTCTAAAAAACAGACACAATTTCTTGTTCAGTTACAAAGTTCCGCTGTTCAAGTCCCGTTAAATGTTGTGCCGAGAATACCGACTAACTTGTCAATCGAAATTTTTTCGTTTTCATTAACCTCTCTGTCACATTCTTCATGTCTTTATCCATTTTTTGCAGCAATTCCACCTTTTGTTTGATGGACATCGAAACATACTTTCGTTTTGTACGATCGTTTGGGAGCTCCAGAATCGGAAATTCTATTTGACATAATCGAAAGTTGAAGTTTACTTTTATAAAATTGCTCTTACAGTCTGCAAAAAATAATAAGCCGGATCCAATTCGAAGATTAAGGAACAACACAATCATCAACATTAACTGAAATAGATAATTTTAGATTATACCGTCCGTTATACGTAAAACGCGCACGCGAAAACGGATTCTGCGCTTGCGCACACGCATATGCGCAGTGGTAAAAGGTCTTACGTGCACGCGTAAACGCCTATGCGCATGTGTTAACGCGGCGCATGCGCAGAAAGTTTTTAGCTTTGAGGTCCGGATTATGGGTGTCCGAATTAACGACTTTTGACTGTATTATATTTCCTGGTCATAGCTATTGTAGGGTGGATTTTTTTAATTATTTATTTATTTAGTGGCTGATGGTTCAGAGGTTCAAACATTGAACATACAGATTTTGGACTTTGTATTGTAGTAAATTTATGTTTGTTCTCCCCCCCCTCAAAAAAAACCTGTTTAATGATCTTTTCACGAAGACAAAGAAAAAAAAAAAGAGGCCACTTGTTTAATTAGTAAAAGTTGTATGATATTTCAATTAAATGTCACTTCATGAATTATAAAATATGATCATATGTATTGTATGCAGAACAATAGGTTTTCTTTACTGGTATCAAAAAGTATATTCTGGACATTTTATTTTGAGGTGTCATACATTTCCATTAATCCACAAATTTCAGGATTAGAGAATTTTGCAAATCATTGGTCACATCTATGTTTGTTTAGTTCACGTTTCACTCTAATATTTATATTCAATTTGGACTGTTTGCACATAAACAATTAACCAAAACATACTCATTTGAAGAATTATTTAATTGAATATAAAATACTATATTTTTTTAGATACAAAAAATATAATAATGAAAATAATCCAAGTACTAGGGAGTTAAAATCGTGTGGAGGAAAAGGGTTAAATAGCAGGGGAATTTTTTTTTTTTTTTTTTTTTTTTTAGAAAGTAGATAACTCTTTGTATAAGGAGGACTAGAAAGTAATTTTTTTTTTACATTAAATTCAAACAAATAAATTTTAAAAAACCTTTATTTTAAATCAGTGATATAATCACTCTCATTTTCAACAATCTTTTACCATCTAGTGCATTTACAGTTTATCCAAATTTTAGCATTTCAAAATGAAGGATTCTGTGAATACTCCACCAAACACACAAAAGTACCTTTCTGAGATGTAAACTTGGCTTAGCAGTACTATATGGCCATTTATTCGGAGATAACCACTGCTTTTGGCATTTTAGGTTATAATAGAACACCCATTTTTCATCTCCATTGATCAAAAAACAGTTCTGTATTGTGCCGGTGAAGCAATAAATTGCATCGTGGTGAATTGGTTAGCTTTGTTTTTACAGATTATGTGGGACGGAAATACCTGGTTTCCTTCCTTTACCAATCTGCTTCAAAACTTCTTGGAGGCTTGAGCAAGCTTAATCAAGAGGGTTTGACAGTTCTAACAAGTAAATCTTCTAAAATGTAATTGATCTTTCTAATTGATGCAAGTCAGAAGGATCAAAATTATTGAATCTGAACTTATAAAAAACCACCTTTGGTGTTTATAAACATCTAGTGCACTTGTATTTAGAACAAGAAATTATGTCTGTGTATAGAATTAAGGAGAAGGCATGTGCACAAAAACAGAGCAATTTAAGCAACTGACATTGAAAGATATGTTTAATAAAGGAAACCGCCGAAGTCCTGATGACACCGGATCACAAACTTTGAACTGCATTATGTGTATTATTATTTTCTTCCCTATGTACACTGCGCAAAAAAGGGGGGAATAGTTCTATATCTCCCGTTCTACAGGGCCAACTGACAAATTTCAAATTGCATTTTTCATGCCTCAAAAGCGTGACTTAGGATATGTATTAGATTTATATATAGCATTACTCTAGCATACGTATTTTGACACAAAATCGGACTTTTTCTGAAATAACATACCAATTTTTTTTCCATATTTCAATTCTATGACTCAAATTATGCCTAAATATTAAATTTTGTAAAATTTGGTGCAAAATTTATGGAGAGATTCCAAAATTTATCTTGGTGCAATTTTCTCAGTTTGCACCAAAAATAATTCACTTGGCGAACTTCTAAATATATGACAACCAATTTTCCTTTCCCTTCTATTATGCCGGAGCATTAAAAAAGTCCCATCGTTCCTACTTTCAAATAATTTTAGCAAAGTGTCTAAACCACATTTGATGTTTTACTGCTTTCCAAAAATATGCCAAATTTCAAAACGTGCCAATATATAAATTCACGTATATCTTTGGAAATTTTGAATAAAAAACTGTAATTTTTTGCAGGTATGCTTACAAATACGTCTACTTTAAGATGATAGTTAAAATTTTATGGATTATAATTCAAAATTTTTTGAAAAATTTATAAAAACTATTTAAAAATAAATCATAAAAAATGGGTGAATTTTATTTGCAATAAACCTGAATTTCGAAATGTGAAAAGAAGAATCAAATAAGTTTAATAAGAGAGATTAATAAATATATATCAAACTCAATTAACATGAAGGAGGTAAAATTTTGAGAGCTAATTTTTGTAAAAACTACTTGTGAAATTTTTTGAAAACTTGGTAGTTTGGCATAATTTGAGTCTTAGAATTGAAATATGGAAAAAATTGGAATGTTATTTCAGAAAAAGTCCGATTTTGTGTCAAAATACCTATATTAGAATGATGCTATATATAAATATAATACATATCCTACATATCCTAAGTCGTGCTTTCGAGACATAAAAAATGCAAGTTGAATTTTGTCAATCGGCCTAGTAGAACGGAAGATGTAGAACTGTCCCCTCTTTTTTGCGCAGTGTACAGGACTGACTGTTTGTTTATGCTTCAAATCATCAGAAAATTTTAAAAACTTGCCATTGTGCACATTAAACATAATATATATATCATGGGTCAGCCACGCGGCACCTGCGCTAAATTATTCTGATTTGTGTGCAGTTTGTCAGTTTTGGGATGTGTATATAATACATATTAAAATTATATTTTTTTACATATCTGCATTAAACAGCCGTTTTATTGCATAGTCACTGTTTGAAACATTTCATTGTCAAGTGAAGCCGACTAAAGTCAAACCAACTCAACAGCAAGGCGCAGCGTGGCATCACTGATATATTAAATTGTAACTTCTCTGACGCAGTTGCAAGTACATGCAGGCAGAAAGACTTAATGGGTGCAAAACAAGACATCTGTCTGCTTTGTCTGTCTATGAAAATTTTGATTAATTCATAAGTATACTCTGAATTTCTGACTTTTAGACAGGCAGTGAAATCAATAATTTTAGGTATGTAGTATGTATGTACTCTGTTATTGTTTTCTTGTTAGTAGATTCATTTGCATACAAACTGATGATTGTAACAACCCTCCGATGAACAAAGCTAAGCGACCATCACTTATAATTTTTAAAGAAATGGTTTTAAATTCCCTAAAAATTTAAGATTTTATTTTGTGCTTTCGATGACCAAAGGTTGCCGACCTTTGATATACATTATGGTAGATTACTGTTGTTATTAATTACAATGTAAACAGATATTATTTTCACTTAAAAAATCAGGGAATTGCACAGCTCCATTCATTCAATTTATTGAAAAAAAGGGTAATATTTCAGAAATAAAACCATTAAGAAACGGTGAAAAAGTAGTGTTACCAGAATATGATTATATAACACTAAAATCGCCGAATTTTTCTTACTCCTTATTCTTCACTTTAGCCAATTTAAATTTGGATAATTCCATAATTCAATAACAGTAGTTTTCATATTTTAACAAGCGATAAAATGACCAGAAAAAGAAAAAATGAATAAATAAGAATGGTATGTCACATACTACATGGTGACCCAAACTTGTTTCTTCCATTGGCTGTAAATAAACCTGATAATATCTGAAAAATACTGAATTAAATAAATTAGCTGTGCATATCTATTGCATAAATTCAAAATAAATTTTAAAAGACAATAACATACACTCCCAAAAAGTAACAATTTGTCTAAAATGAAAAGTGTGAGGAGATTCAAAATCAATGTTTACTATAAAAAGAGGGAGGTGAATCATATGCAGAAAATGCTAAATAACTTCAGTAATAAAATTAATTTGATTGTGTGATCAAAATAGCTTGTAAATAATTTTTATTTTTTAAAACAATAATTTACTTGCATATTTATATAATAAAAAATATTTTCATTTAATATCGTTCATAAAAATATTTTCATCACACATAAAAAAATTGAAGTTGCAATGTAGTTTTTAAAAATGGAAGGTCATAATTTTTGTATCTAAATCTATATAAACTTGATGTGTTTCATTTGGTTGTGGTACTGACAGGGTAAAATCCGAAAATGAACTTATAAGAAATAAATAGTTCCCTGTTTGTGTAAAAAGAGTTATAATTTGAAATTTGTATTTATACTTTTATTCATGCACATATATATCCTAATAATATATTCTGGTTCTGTCTTAATTCTAGGCATCTAGATAATATTTGGATATGCAAACCATTTAATATGGCCAGAGGCTTAGAAATTCACATCACCGATAATTTGGTTCGCATTTTGCGACTGAGCGAAGCTAGGCCGATGGTATGCACATCATCCCTGCCATTTTATAGGCTTAATGTATAAGAATTTTTATTTTGTGTTTATTAAGTGTGGATTTTGCTTAAAACTTCAAAATATTCTTGTATTTTCTAATGTTTTTGTATTAATAATTAAAAGAAATTTATTATTGGTCGATTTTGAAATTTTGCTTGCATATGCTGTCCCAGAAGAAAAAGAAAATTCAAGATAAATTAATATTTAAAGTTTAATTTGAGCAGTGCATTGCATAAAATGGCTATAAATATTTCTACAGTTTAAAATATAAAAAATTCAATTGAAAATTCTTAGATAAAAATTTAGCAAATGAATAAAATTTGTCAACTTCATGTCAAGTCCGTTACCTTGAGATTATTTTACCGCCAATTCATTTGTAAATCTGCCTGGAGGCAGTACATATTCAAAGTAGTCAAACTTAGCTTGACTAATTTAAATACTTAACTGAATATGTACTGCCCTTTTAGACAGATTTTGGGTAAAATATTCTCAAGCTAGTGGACTTGACATATGAAGTGGAAGACAAATTATTTTTCTATTGTATTCTGTAATTAATTTTTATCACAATTATAACACACTAAAAGTTCATATTTAAAATAATTAAACTTATATTTTAAATATGAATATGTTTTGTAACCTAATTTATTTTAAAAAATAAATTAGGTTACAAAACAAAGAGGTTGAATAACATGAAACTTGAAAGGGACACACATTTTAAGATTTATATCTAAAAAATTTCAATTGATTTTTTTCATATTTTGAATTGTAGAAATATATTTATAATCATCTTTATCTAGCATTGCTCAAATTAAACTTTAAACCTAATTTATCGTGAACTTCCTTTTTTTCCCCTCTTCTGGGACAGCATATGTAAGCAAAATTTGAAAATGGCCGTATTATAAAAACCCCCATTTAGGTAGAATACAGAACTATAAATGGTTGCTACCTCCCTCCCCCCCAAATTTATATCTTTTTTTAGTAATGTTTGTATTGTTATTTATAATTCTTTAAATTATAAATACTGTCATCTATGTAATTACATGTACCCTGAACACAAATTTGCTGTGTTGAATTCAGTTAAATATAACTCATTTCCTCAATGCCATCGACAATCTTCTTAGGTACTGGCATAAGGTCCCAAAAAATGTCACACGTAATGGAACTGTTGCAGAAGAGTGTAGTCTAACAGACTAATTGTGAGAGAGTACAAGGTACAAATAATGCTTCACGATTGAGTTCACAAATTCTTTCTTGAATTCCTGAATGCACTGCAGCCATTGTAGAAGCATTGTCGTATTCTTTTCTATGGCATATTGATATATCAAGACCATTCGATTCAGTAACATTATTAGAGATATCTTCCGTTATGTCAATGGCTTTCTTCCCTGTTAGCAGGGGAAAAAAAACCTAAAAAGGACTCCTTTTATGTCAACTTTTTTCTTTCGTATGTGAACATAACCGATGATGACATTTATGTGATCTATGTGCGAGATGGGGGGTGGACTATCCAAGATGATCTTAAAATTCTTAATATTAGTCAAAATCTTTTCCTTAACAGTTGTACCCAGTAGTACAATAAACTCATTTTGTGTGGTGGAAGACATGTAGCTTGTTAACATCTTACCTGACAGTGAGTGAGTTGATGATTCTAGTTTAATTAAGTGCTCTCTTTGTACTGGATCATATTTTGATAGCTCATCAGCTCTATAAAATTTTCTTTGTTCTTTATCACTCTGTGTGACTGCAGAATAGAAGATTTTATATAGCCAAAAACAATGTGACGTCTAGGAGCATTTTTAAAAAAATTTCTTGATTTTCTTTTTTCTGTTTCAGTAGCTGTCTAGCTAACTGGGTAAATTGTTCTATTGGCTTCTTAAAGTTTTCCATTTTTCAAATGTTTCAAAGGTTTTTTATTTTTTAAAGCTTCATGTTGTTCTGAGATTTATATTTGCGAACTTTCAGACTAAGCTTCTACCAAGCTTGAAAGCCAGTTACAAATTTAGATCTCCAGTACAGAGATCCAGACATCCAATATCCGGAATTATGCATGTGCATTTGATTCCCCCACCATCCGTGCTTAATAAAACATGTGGAGAGTCTGATTCTTAATTTCACTTCGACAGTACCTCGTTGTTGAAGAAACAATCATTTTAACATAAATTTGTATGATCAGTAATTTGGCTCTGCTTGGCATACATCTCAAACTGAAAAATTCTACATGCATACATCATTGATTTCACACCTACTAATAATTTATAGCTCTGGTGAAACATTATTTATTATATTTTGCTTTCATCACCTAATGTTTATCAACACATTACAACTTGAGTAATGGCTCATTTAGCAATACCTGAACTTTTTTTTTTTTTTTTTTGTTAGTAATTGAATAAAGAGTATATTGACATAACCTTTTATGTTGACATAATGCTTGGCAATGATTACAGATTTAAGTTCAGTGTGCTAAAAAATGTTGATGAGGAAAAATTTAACAAAAATCTCTTTTCGTATGCTAAAAAAATAGATTTTGTTAATGATACTCATAGGCCAAAATATTAAATTTAGTGCTATTTGAATTAAGAATAATGGATTAGTTATTCATATAAACCCAGAACCAGTGCCAGGGCTTGTATGACCGCACAGGGCAGTAGAATTTAGGGAAGTAGAATTTAGGGAAGACAAAGGGAGGCGCTTGGTAGCAGAATTTAGGATCCACGGAGACTGTATCAGGTGGTAAGATATCTAGTGCTGGCCCTCAATAAGCCTTAAGTATATGTGGGAATTTATTTATTCAGGACTTGGATAAGTCTGATAAGCCTTTATTTTTAAGGACTCTGATAAGCATGTGCAAAAAATAGACATAAATATAATAAATAACTAAACTAATACAGTTCAGTCTTAATTGTCTCAGTGTGCTATAGAAGCAAGATAAAATTTAGCGGAACAACTTGTCTTTACTCGCCAATCTCATGATACATAGCCAAATATGTATAGTGAACGATAGCTGAATTTTATGATGATAGCCGCAAATTTTAAAGGTTTTCGGATATCGCAAACGAAAGGCAAAATTTTCCAATTAACAAATTCTGTAAAGAAAAGTTTGTGAAGCGATAATAAATGAAGATGATATAAAATAAGTTTTTGATTGTGATGACAATGCTCCTCAATCATCAATCAATTAATGTATGGCAAAATTTGTAGTATGGTTCTAGATCCAGAAAATACTGCTACCGAAGAAATGACAGAGAAGTTACTGAAAAGAAAAAATTTCGATTGACAAGTTAGTTGGGATTCTCAGCACACGGCAATCACAGGACTTCAACAATGTAACTGAACAAGAAATTTTGTCTACAGAATTAAAGAGAAAGTAGTATATGCTCAAAAAATAAAGCAACGTAAAAAAACTTATATTGAAAGAAATGTTTAATAAAGTAAACAAATAAATAGTAAACCTCTCTCTCTTTTTTTGGAGGGGGTAGATTTTAATAACCTTTAGATCAAAAGTGCTTCATTATTTCATATTTTTAATTTTATAATCTCTGCATGCCATCGTACTAGATTTAAACTGATGATCTACTATCTGAAAAAATCCCAAATTCAGAATCGCCGAAGTTCCGAAGGGTCCAGATCTCTGACTTTATACTGTATTATTCAAACTTGCATCTGTGCCAAAGAGGCTGCAACAAAAACAGTACGAATTTTGGTTTTAAACTGAGTATGCTGTCCAGCTTCTGGGAATATTCTTGCCATTTGGCTGACTGATATAGAACCAGTCAGATGTCAACTGTCAGTTAGCACCCTTCGTCTTTGTCTTATCCTCTTGTCTCTTAACAGAAACAAAAGGTCCATCTTTATTTTGAAATGCTTCATTTTTTTTCTTTTAATTAATTCAACTCGTAGATTACCTGAAACTGGGAAAGGCTAAACAGAGATGTCAGAGAAAAAAATATTACTTTTAGTTTCTACTTCTCCTTTTCCTCCTCCTCTTTCTTTCTCATCTGATGTGCTGCCTTCTAATTTGTTTTGTTCTTCATTATGATTATCTCTGAAGTTTTCATTTTCTTTGAGCTCTTTAATTTCTTTATGACTGTCTTCTCTAATTTGTTCTTCACTTTCATGATTTCTATGAGGTTTTTTGTTAATTCAGACATCACTCTTGGATTGAGATAATGCTGCAACGTCTTCTTCCTTAGTTTATGTTAATGTCGGAAATTTAACAAATTTCAGTGTTAATTCGACTGGACATCCAAAACTTTGTCCACTTGTTTTTTCTTTGCTGTGCTCCACTTGAATGCTGTCATTTCGTGACCATAGATCTGTAATATGAAAAACTTCTAGGTTGTTTCGGAAAAAGTTTAAAAAAAAATTACATCATATTTTGTTTTGCAAAAAATGTTTAATTCCACGCCAACAAAATCTAATAAGCAAATACCATGGTCAAACGTACCATTAACATCGTAAATTTATTGTGGGTGTCCTATGGTTTTATTATTTGTGATCTAAATATGTAGATACATTTTGTAAAGAGAATAATTTAATCTCTTGTTTCCATGAAACTTTATAATGAATTATTTTTCTTTTAGTTCAATAAATATCTTATGAATTTTAAATAAAAACTTATTATGTAAAATCTTTTTTTAAAATCTTTTTTATTATTTCTGTGATAAAATTATAGCCGCAGGTTGAACTCTAAAGCATTAACAAACTACTAAAATTCCTATATTTATTAAAAGAATTTCACTAGTTGTTCTTTGGAAATATGTATTAACCCTCTGAGTGGCACGGGTTTTTGGATCTGTCATAAAGACCTGTATTTAAACAGCCTTGATTAGCTAAATTTATATATATACTTCTTTTAGTCTCTATTTTCATACACTTAATTTTAATTCATTTAGACAATTTGTATAGTACAATGCAAAGTCTAAGATCTGGACGTCAAATATCTGGAATGACCTATAATCCGGACCTCAAACTCACCACCAACTTTTTTTTTTTTTTTTTTTTTTTTTGTGTGTGTGTGTGTGTGCTTTATGCATGCACATCTGTTCCCCCCCCCGGCATGTGGAGAGTCCGATTCTTAATTTCACTTCGGCACTAAATGAAAAACAATCATTTTAGCATAAATTTGTATGATCAATAGATCAATTAGGACTCGCAGAGACTGCATCAGGTAGGTGGTAAGATTTCTAGCGCCGGCCCTCAATAAGCCTTAAGTATATGTGAAAATTTATTTATTCAAGACTCGACTAAGCCTTAAGCATGTGCAAGGAATAGGCATAAATATAATAAATAACTAATACAATTTAGGCTTAATTCTCTCAGCGCATGATAGAAGCAAGATAAAATTAAGCAGAACAACTTATCTTTAGTCACCAGTCTCGTGATACATAGCCAAATATGTATTAGTGAATGATGACTAAATTTTATGATTGATAGCCGCGAATCTGAAGGTTTTCGGATATTCCAAACCAAATGCAAAATTTTCTAATTAACAGATTTTTGTAAAGAAATGTGGAGAAGCAGTAATAAATGAAGATGGTATAAAAGAGAAGTTTTTCATTGTGATGACAATGCTTTTCAGTCATCATTCAATTAACGGATGCTGAAATCTGTAGTATGGTTCTGGATCCAGACCACTACCAATAATGAAGAAAGTGACAGAGAGGTTACTGAAAGCAAAAAAAATTTTGATTGAGAGGTCAGTCGGAATTCTAGACATAGCAAAGAATTAAAGGGAACGTATTAGCACAAAAAAAAAAAAAAAAAAACAGAGCAACTTGAACAACTTTGAAAGAAATGTTTAATAAAGTAAACAAATAAATATTAAGCTTTTTTTTTCTAAATTTTGATACCCTTTAGATCATAAATGCTGCATTGTTTCATAAATCACGATTTCATATTTTAATTTTTTTTATTTCTACAATCCATCTTACTAGATTTAAACTGATGATCTAATATCCAGAAACGCGGAAGTCTCGACAAGTCCAGATATCAGACTTTGTACTATATTAAAGAATGTAATAAAGCAAAATATCTTAAGTTATAAGCTAATATATATATACCAAGCAATAAAAAATTCTCATAAGCAGATAAAGCCTGTCATGGTGCTCAGAGGGTTAATATGTTTTAATTTTATTCATTGTAAAGGTTAATGATTTATTGCCAAATGTATAATTTCTTTAAATATTTGCAGGTGGCATGTAAGTACATCTCTGACCCTGTTCTGTTTCCTGTAGAAGATATCGGTTTGGTAAAGATGGACATTCGGTATATAGTTCTGTTGAAAAGTGTTCATCCATTGGAACTCTATGTTTATGATAGATTCTGGCTTCGTTTTGCTAACAAGTAAGGATACACTTTCCTTCAGATAAATACTTTAAAAAGCAAAATATTTTAAAATTTAAATACTTAGCAACAAAAAAAGAAGTATCTAATTATCGAACTGAATGGAAAAATTTCTTGTATCTGCTTTTACTTCCTTGTGTGATGTAAAGGAAGTATTGTAATCATGAAAAATTTCAGGTATCATATTGCAAGACTGCTTTCAAATCCACATGAATGATGTTTTTGCATGGCATCTGTATGTACAGACAAAATAAAGGACTTCTCCCCCCAAAAAATGCATTCAGAAGAGATTTTTTATGACATCTGTACATCATGTACAGTTATGCATATATGTGCATCATGTACAGTTATGCATATCTGTACATCATGTACAGATATGCATAACTCGAAAACGAATAGTTGTAGAATGTTGAAATTTTGTTATATAGGACTGCTTATTTATTTATTTGAAGCACAAAGGGTGTTAGCCCAGAAGGACTGTTAATTTCGTTTTGGCATTTTGCATCGAAAATTTTAAATGTCCGTTTCACTTTTCAGATTTCACTTTTCAGATGCTGGATTCGAAAATCATTATTAAATTTCCCCTGAAGAGTCGGTAATGAGATTCGAATTAGACTAATTTACCATCTACTGCTTTTTTGTTTTTGTATTTTTGCTCAAGTCTTATATCACACTTTTATTCTATTGTTTAAAGTTTGCCTTACCTTGATCAACATATTACTTACAATTAGATTTCAATTTTATTTGTAAATATTCTAGTCGTAATATTGTTTATTTAATGTTTACACTTTTCATTGCACTTTATTTTACTTATGTTAAAATTTTTTTCGCCGGAACCACAGTATCTAAGCTACTTTTTAGCGGAAGCACTAAGAATATTCTTTTAACTTGTTTTTCTTTACAAAGAGTTATACACATTAAAAGTAATATCCCCTTGTTTTATATCAGATTTTTCTCAGTTTGTAGTAAATTTATTCGTCGTCTCTAAACTCAAATAGAATGCATATTTTTGGATTATGAGTTATTAAGTAATGTGGAATTTGTAATATTTTAAGCATACAACTCATTTCCTTTATTTTATATACTATTTTGCAGGCCATTTTCTTTGGACCACTTTGATGATTATGAAAAGCATTTTACCGTCATGAATTATAGTAATTTCCCATTACAACAGGTAAATATTAGATTTCATTACTTATTAGTAGCCTTACCAGATGTCCTGCTTTGACCAGGACTACCCCGATGTTATGATAGGGTCCCTGTATAGTGTTCAATTCATCATTTTGTTCCAGTAAAATTTTAAAAGTGTCAAATATTCAAAAAATAAAAATAGTACAGACCCATGTAAAATGGTGATTTCACAATTAAAATATCCCCTCTGTTACACTCACAGTTGCCAATCTAAATATTTGGTATCTAGATCTATGTACCTTTAATGTTGTTTAGATGTTTTTTCAAATGATGACAGATGTCTTTCTTACATTGAGCTATGTTGAAACAGTTTTGGTGGACTCATTAGGTTATTGTAAAGCAAGAGATGTGAAAAATGATCAATGCCCTCGCCAGGTCTTGAACCTAGACCTCTTAAATACGCACTGAGTGTGCTACTGTTACACCACAAAGGCATTCTGAACGGAGAGAGTAAATAAATACCTTCTAGAGCAGAGTCTTTTATTTGAATTAGCATGGTCTGAAATTGGGTAATGAAATTGCTGCAAATAATACAATAAGCATGGATCAATGTTTTTATGAAGAAGCGATTGCAAAAACATTTTGGTAGCAATTATGATATTTGGAAAAATAAAATTTCTGAAAAAAAAAATACAACTCTTCATTCATTTAAAAGAAAAAACATTTCATTTCTCATTCTTGTTCAAACAATTGAAATATATTTTCAGCATGCCAGGAACATCCGCACTAATCAAAGAGTATTCTTAATAATGAATATCATATGATCTGAAGAAAATGGCTGAATCAACCATAAAAGATTTACAGAGGTGTAAAATTAAGTGAACAAAATTGCAGTGAATTTTTTTTATTCCAGTAAAAGTAACAAAAAATTTTTAAAGTTCATGCTAGTGATAAATTCAAAAAATTTCTTCTACATGTTCATTGAGTTATTAAAAATTTCTTTTAACTCTCTGTTGCTTTTTATTCACAATTACTTTATTTAATATTTTCAATCGTAGGTACTTATTCTAGTAGGTTTTGTTTTGTTGTATTTTATTGAAATTGCTCTTTGAGCAAAAAATATTATGGTAACTGTAAATCATGGTCATACTGTAAATCAACTACAGTATGACTAGCATATTTAAAAAATAAGTATTTTTACATTTCTGTTTGCTAAATTTCTACTTCTGTGAATTTCAGATGTACTGTCATGATTTTATTGAAAAATTTGAAGATCATTATTCTTGTTTTAAATGGTCTGATATTGAAGTAAGATTTTGTTTTCTTATATATTTTTATGAAATTTTAACCTGTCTCTGACAATGCACCTTTTTTCACAGAAATATAAAAGCTACTGTATGTTATCAAAAAATCTTCCACACTCAAAATTTATTTACAGAAACAAAATTCTATGTGTGCATTTTATTGTTTTGTTTGAAAATTTCACAGTTGAAAGCAATCAAGATTAATTTATTATTACTATTTTTATTGTGAATTGTAGCATTATTTATTTGATATGAAATGTTTGTTGAGTATTGCACTTAAGTGCAGTTCTTATTAGTATACTTTTAACCAGAAGCTTTCATTCTATTTTTAAAAAAATTGCCATATTTATGAGGAAATTTTGCTGAAAGAGAAAGTGCCAGAAAGTTGCAACAGCTTTTAATACATATCATAAGAACTAGTAATCTTTGCATACCAAATTACTGCACTTATGTTTTCCTGTATTTTTTCCTAAAATTACCATAATTTAGAAACTTTCAAAAACAGCAGTATCTAAAAATAATTATTTGTAGCAGAACTGCCAGAATTTTGATAATGAGCTCTTAAAAAAGGCTATGAAGGTTTTCTCCTGAGCAGGGTGGCCTTGGGTGATATTCAAAACGTTTCGCCAAATTAGCAAACCAGAGGCAAAAGGCATTTTCAAAATAGTGGCACACTTTGTATTCTATAAAAGAGTAACCGCTCAATAAATTTTTAAAAGCAAGAAACATGAAATAACAATGAAACCAATATAAATTAAAGCTTACATTTAGTTTTTCTCGTGATTAGTAGCTTTTAATATATTTATATTAAATTTAATATATTTTAAGAGTACAGATAAAAAAGCTTCTATCTTTATAAAGCTAAGCTTTATATTATATTTATCATATATCTTTACATTTCCAATGCCATGTTAACTAGCAAAGTGGAAATATAATAATAATAATCTCAAATTCAGGTTACCACTCATTTTGACTTCTTGAAACATAACTTCAACAAAAGCACTAAAAAAAATCAAATATTCATCTAAAATTTGTTATGCTTTTATCGAAAGACAGAGGAAACAGATGACTTAATTTGCAGAAATAACTGCGTGTATTGGGCAGTCTAAGACACTCCTATCTAAAAAATTTTTTAATTCATCTCACCTCTCATAATTCTACTAGTCTCATGCTGAAATGTTGCCATTATGGTACAAGGGAGATAAATGAAAGCTAGCCACATTTGGCATTTCATCGACATTTTGGGAAATCTTAACATATTCAGGAATTGCTGTGGCTAAGATAGCAATGTTATGCCTGACTAAAATTTAAATTATACAAGTTTTAGGGTAATTTTTCTAATTAATTTTTATACAATCTGAAATTGTGTAGTAAAATATAGAGTTTTGTAGAATATTTTATAGATTTAATAAATGTTTGTATTTAATTTTTTTCAAATTTTTCCATTTAGTAATTTTAATCCAACTGTTTATATGGCCATTTATTATTAATTTTTTGTGTTTAAAAAAAGCATTTTGATAAATAAAATTTTTTCTTTTGTTTTGAGGTTTTCGCAGTCTAAAATTTGTTTAATATATTAAAGTCCGAAACCATTGCTTAATATGAATTTATTATTCTAAATTTTCATTTAATGTATTTTAAAATTATGCTATATTTAATTTAATAGTGGAAAAAAATATGTCTAGTTTTGAATCAGAATTTTCAGTTTAGATCCCTCTTGAGGTTGTGTTGCCTCATGGTGCAGAAAGACCTCACATTTTCAAAATCAGCTATGCTTTGGTGAAGGATAAGATGAAAAATCCATTATTTCCATTGTATAGTATCCATAGTAGGACTTCATAATATAGTATTTCTATTTTATAGAATAGTATAAGCAAAATAATTTGTGTGTTAAGAGAAAGAATTCCTCCCTTATTTTCTTTTTGAAAAAATTCTCCATGAAGTGGAACCTTTTTAAAAACTTACTGCAAAGTTTGTATATATATATATATATATATATTCGAGTGAACTGTTAAGATTAAAAAATATATTGGAATGGTTCATCAGCTAATTCTGGATATAGAAAAGCAAGGATTTTCTTATGGAAAAGAAATTGTAATTAGTTTCGATGTATCCTCCTTCTGAAGACATTATGTCAGAGTTGGATTCCTTTTCATTCATTTGCTTTTTTACATGATTTATTTTTGGTTTTTCTTGTAGTGGTTTATTTAAATTTTTCTTTTAATATTTTCAGATTCTAATTCGACATTTATGGGATTTTTTTTTTTTTAATTTATTTGAATCTCAATTTTTGTTCTTTGTGAAAATTGGTTCTAAATTTCTTTCTTTATATATTTACTGACCAATTTTCAGCATAATGCATGATAGTTCTTAAAATGATTTTGTATTTTTCTTTATAATTATTTTTGTATGTTTTTGTAATATATTTGTAATGTTTTGACAGTCGGGCACCTGAGTGAAACTTGGCAATCTGGTCACATCAGAATTCTGGACATTGTTGTGCCTGAGTGTAAGGCCTCATCCAATGATGGCACAGAAGGATTTAAATTTATAGCTCCATATCTTTATTCAGTTTAAACGGCAGATCATTACTCTTTACTAAATAAGATTAGCTTTAAATTCACTGCATCATAATATTCGAACAAAGGGAGGCAGATGAGAAGAGCAGCAACATAGGTCTTAACAGCAGCAGAGGGAGAAAGCAGTCTCTGAGGCAAAATGGCATGAATTCTGCATTTATAAAAGCGCTTATGTAATATGCTCGAAAATACTGGTCTAGGGGGAAGATCCTGAAATTGTGGAAAGTTAATTAGAGGTTGCTTGTTTGCCTAGAGCAAAGCCATCATATTTTTTATATTTTACATATATACAAATAAGAATTGTGTTGATTGCTTTTTAAATGCTTTAGCCTGCGTTAAACACACACTTTTTTGTTCCACAATTAGATACATGGGTTGCTGGTGTCACCTATATATTAAGATATATCTAGAATAAGGAATATAATTTCAGTGCTAATTTCATCACATCAAACATTCAGATACTGAAAGGCGTGACTCAAAAATCAGCACACAGTGTTGCAAACGTGCGACAAGTAAAATATTATATACTTGCAGTGGCTAAGCTGAATGGCAACACACTTATGCACAGAAGATAAAAGTAGTTTATTTCCAGCACTGGCAATACATTGCTTTTAAATAGTCAAGTTTGTTGATTAAGTTTAAATGTCTCGTACTTTACCGAATGGCAGCACTCTGGCACGGAAGTTAAAAATGTTTTAGTAAAAGTATTGGGAACGTATTGGTTTTATATCACTCTATTTGTTAATCAAATTTCATTAAACTGAATGCAGAATATGAAATAAAAATAAATCAAAAATCAAAATTTGGGTTTGGATGTGTTTATGTTTAGGTGGAAAATTGTATGTTCAAATCTAAATGGTCCCAGGTGCCACTGTTTTTCCGCAGGACAAGAAGCATGCATACATACATATAGATTCTTTATTATTCAGTAATGGAGATGAGAGTGCATTATTTATACTGAAATGATATCATCTACAACTGCTGTTAGATGAAAGTTTATAATAAACACATTTACAGGCCATGTTTTCCTGGCTAAATAGCTTTTTGCTTAATGTTGTTAAAGCAAATAGCAACCAAGGTATTTCAGTTTTCAGGTCCTTTTAAAGATCGTTTAAAAAAAAATGTGGTATTCTGCAAAACAAATATAGCTGTCATATTAAAAACTAAAAGCAACCCAATAACAGTAGGACTTATTTTTACATCTAATTTATTTGGCTAATTATGCCCAAAAAGAATCAGATTTAAAATGGGGGTTCCCCCTTTTTTTTAAGTCCTTTCTTTGTCATCTAGAAATATCTGTTAGCTTGTTGGCAAGCGTTTAGTGTGTTCCTAAAACAAAAATTGCATGGTATAAGCAGTTATGATTGAGGGACTTTGGAGATGTCTGGATCATATGCCATGCAGTCATTTTGTTTTATTATGAAACCTGTGTCATTAAGTCCATTGTTACTGATATGTTTCAAAGGAAGCATATTTTGAAGACTATCCACCTAAATTAGTAATTATATATATATATATATATATATATATATATATATAAAGGAATATGTTATTTAGGTACTAATTTATTTAGTCCAGCTAGTAATTAGATGTGAAGAAGTCCATTCATTGCTTTTAAATTGCATAGCTTGTTAATCAATAACAGACATTGAATATGAAAGAAAAGTTAAGGATCTTTATTATTTAAAGTTAAGTATCTTATTATTAAGTTTTGTCATATGGCAACATACACTGGTGTGCAAAAATTAAGGACGAGACGGTTTTCTCAATATAACTTTGTACAAAAGCTTTCCAAATGAACACATTTAATACCGTAAGATCCCCAATACGTAAGGACATGAGTAATGTAAGCAACACTTACTAAAAGAGAAATCAGAGGGATAAAAGAAGCTTTATTGAAAAAGTAGCATGGAGCGCAATGCGACTGAAGGCCGAAACATCCCTGTGATGGGTGTCCAGCAAGAAACATCCGGTCTTTAATAGGGGATATGATCTCCCCTGACTGCTAGGAAGGTTTCACAGCGTCTGCCCATGCTGAGAATGAGTTGTTGAGGCATTGCTGCCCATTCGTCTTGCAGCGCCAATCGAAGCTCCGGAATCTTTACTGGTGGTAAGGTACGAGCTGCCAAGCGTCTGCCTAGAAAATCCCATACATGCTCGATGGGATTGAGATCCGGAGATAGTGCCGGCCAATTCATACGTTCAATATCCTCACTCTCTAAGAGCTGTTCGGCAGCTACTGTGCGATGACATGGTGCATCGTCGTCCATGAAAAGGAACTGCGGACCCATAGCGCCTCTTAAAAGACGCACATATGGAAGAAGAATCTCGTTACAATAACGGGTCCCGTTGACTGAACCTGCGTCAAAGATGTGAAGGTCTGTACGACTACCGAGCATGATGCCTCCCCAAACGAGAACACCGCCACCTCCATACCTGTCCCTTTCAATGATGTTCGAGGGATGATTGCGGCTTCCCCGCTCTCTCCAGATGAGTATGCGATGAGAATCGCTACTTGGACTGAATCTCTCATCTGTAAAGAGTACTCGTTCCCATTCATTGTCTCTCCAATTCCGGTGTTCCCACACCACAGAGAACGCCTTCTCTGATGGGCAGGCGTTAGAGGTACACACCGTACAGGGCGTCATGCAAACAGATCACCACCGTGCAGTCTTCTGGCCACGGTAAAACGCAATATCGGTTGTCCAGTCACCTGTGTCGTGTGTCTAGCGATTTCTCCCGCTGTCTGCCGCCTGTTTCTTCTGGCCTGTAAGGCAATATACCGGTCATCTGCGGGTGTGGTTCCTCGTGGACGACCACTACTAACCCCCCGGATAGCTGTTCCTGTAGTTTGAAATTGTCTACACAGTCGTGAAACGATGCTGTGAGCAATTCCGAACTCTGCAGCCACATTTGTCACACTGCGGCCTTCCTCCAACTTCCCAATGATTCGACCTCGGGTAAAAGCATCCAGATGTCATCTAACAGATTGATTATTCGCCATTTCTCGCTGAGGCAGCAACTCGGTGTGATTTTAACTTCTATACGGCGTGCAATCTCTTTGCCAGAGATACTGATCTTGCACCGACAACATGCTTTATACTACTCAGACACTCCCCCATTACGTCTACCTGCATATCTGCGCATGTGCTACCGTACATCACCTTACTTAATCTCCTGATTGGTCTTTCTGTCCGCTCTGCCTCTTCGTTCAGCTGATATGCTAATTTTTCGACTTCATCCTTAATTTTTGCACACCAGTGTACTGACATGCGGAAAACTAAAATGTTTTTTCCTGGGCAGTGGCAACACATTGTTTTTAAATAACCGAATTGTAAAGATAAATATCTTATTCTTTGCTAAGTGGCAATATATTTCTTTTAAATGGTCGAATTTGTTGATTAAATTTGAAACATATCTTATCCTTTGCAAAGTGACAACACATTCATTTTAAATCGTTGAGTTTTTTTATTTGAATTTTATTCATGCAAAGTATGAAATAAATTAAGAACACAAAAAATAAAAAACAGAATTCAAGGTTTGAATTGCATGTGTATGGGTGGAAGATTATGCATGTTCAAAATTAGTGGCTTTAGATGGCTCATTTTTCCACATTATGATAAACGTGCATACATATAGATTCACATTATTGAAAAACAGAGAAAACGTGATATTTACTGTAACATTTTGGTATATTTTAAAACTTGGAAATTTACTTCTTTATATGGTGTTTATCAAATTGCAGTGGCTAAATTAAGTTACATATTAATTTTTATCCTATTTCTGTCATAAAAAATTTCAAATATGTAAAAAAAAAGTATTTTTATGTGGTATGTATGGAATTACTAATCTTGATTCAGTGGAACCATATGCATAGTTTCCTGAAGTGTCAGAGTAAAGGTAAAGCTAGTGTAACAAATCACCAGCAGGACAGCAGTATTAAACAGTTTACCTGTATTTTCAAGTAGTTTAGTCTGGCGAATAAGCTCCATTTGTATTTTCCAGAGGCCGTTTCTTCCCCCCCCCCACTGATGATTCGTAATAGTTATCTTCCTGTCATTTCCCAATAAACAAATATATATAACAAAATATGATGGCTGCTTTAAGAAATAATTGGCAACCTCAAAATTATCTATTCTAGATGTGTTCTTCCCCCTCCTAAATTCATCTGCTGTCCCAAATTCGAGATCTTTCCATGTTACGTAACAACCTAAAATTAACAATCACAGCTTAGAATACTTTCTGCATCTACTAGGTATAAATAATCTTTGCAAAACAATTACATCATTCCTTTCTCTCTAGCTCCTGTCTTCCAACATCTGCGCGCTGCTATGCCCATTTGCCCAAAATGACGTCAAATCGCTTTACCTGTGCATATAAAAAAAAATTATTGTAATTGCTTATCTAAAACTATCTTATCTGCTAAAAAATCATTTGATATGTGAGAAAATAAAGATGGGTGATCTATAAAAATCCAGTTTTGTTATCTTCATCTCTTCATTCAACCCTCAGCCATTACAACCGCAAGATACTGGATTCCTCCTACGCACCTAAAATACTACATACATATTTAAAGCAGGTCCCAGTTACAAAGGAATTGCCAATAATATATTGTTACAAATTTTGTACATATGTAAATAATCCCCCCCCTAAAAGTCACCAAACTTGGCGACATTTTCGTTTGGTTCCTGTATGTAACAGATATTAATATTGAATAAATGCAATTGATCACTATATGTAACTCTAACCATATCTGGCCGTTAGATGTAATTTTAATGCCTTCAAGAAATTTTAAGAAATGGAATTTACTACAGATTTCTCAATTGTCGGGTGAAAACGATATGAGATTGGAAAGAACATCTGCTCTCAGTTGTTAGTACAGAACTGGATTTGGAGTATTGAGACACCCATGTTAGCTTTGCTCATTAGATGCACTTTGCAGTGCATTGTGTGCAACCTTAGTAGTTGTTTGAAGTGTAACTACTGATTGTACTCTGTGATGCTAAGAGCTGTACAAGTACTTTTGTGGAAAGTTCCAGAATTGTGAAGTTCTTCTTTGGATAAAATAAATTTTATGAAGCTATCATTGGATTAATGAAACTCAAATTTTAGCAAAAGAACCACCCCTAGTGATTTTTGGCATATTTTTTCCTAATTAAATTTTGTGTGATCTGAAATGTCTTTGTCTACTGTAGACAACTGCAGAACACTTTGAAGATTCAGTTAATGTTTAATCAGTAAATACTTGTATTTAATTTTGTTTTACGTCAATATATGGTGCATTGCTGTGAATCTTCACAATGGTGTGTACACTAATTATTAATTTTATTTTCATTGTATTAAAAGTGCTTTGATAAATTAATTTAAACTTTTTGTCTTTTCTCCGGATTATCTCAGTGTAAGGAAATTAAAGAATGAAATTAGCCAAAGAACAGAAAACTTGAAACATCTAATTAAATATGAATGTATTTTACACCAAAGTGAATTTAATTCAGTTTGGAGTCCAGTTTTTTTAATACATCAGAAACTCCCCCTCTTTTTTTGGGGGGGAGGGGAGTTCAAGGTTGGGGTCTTGGCATTTCTATTAGCCTTATATTTAATTTCTTTTACTATAGTAAACAGTCTTATTATATGACAAGCTGATATACACAAAAATATTGTTCTTTTCATAATTATTAAAATAAATAAAAATGGTTATTCTCAAAATTTGTTTAACTTTTGATTAAAGCATCGTGTAATGTTTTCTGTTGATATCTTATATTTCTTATATAATTTCGAACGTTTTCTTCCTTTTCTAGAAAAACATATATGGGATGATTAAAGAAATTTTCGTTGCGGCCACGTCGAAGGAACCCCCGTCTGGAATAGGATCTTTTCCATATTCTCGAGCCATGTACGGACTAGATATAATGCTGGAATGGGATAGAAGCGATGATTGTAAGTTTTTTGTTATATAAAATTGATGCTTCTGTATAATTTTAACAAAATATCTTTAAACTCAGAAGAATTCGAATCGTAAAATCTTTAATATGTATTGTTATTCTTATATTATTCTGTCATTCTACTGTAAATAATGTGCAACGATTAAATATTTAACGTGCATTGTAAAAGCAATTTAAAAAATCGCTTAAATTACCCCATAACCAAACTCTAAAAATAAAACAACAGTGTGGTTAATGTACAACTCAGAAATGCAATACCCCCCCCCCCCAAAAAAAAAAAAAGAAAAAAACAAAATCATATTATCCCAAAAAAGCTAAGTAAATTATTAATGATTATGCTTACTATTTTGGATATTTTGGGGGAGGTTTTTGAACTAATAAAGAGATTTTTTTTAACTCATTTTATTGCAGTTACGCATCATGCTTGCTGTAATTTTTATTATACTGACCTTATGATATTTTATACATTAAATTTAAGTTTTGCATATTAAATATAAGCAGTTGAAAATATTTTAAATGCCTCACAAACAAAACCTTATTAAGGAAAACAACAATATAATAAAAAAAGTAGTAAACAGTGCATGATTATGCAAAGTGGGGAGGAGGAACGCAAAGAAAATCGGGTATGTAAACTGGACTAAGTGAGTTAATGTCTTTTTCAAAATATGTATATTTAAATTTCATAAATTTTTTTATTCACTCTATATAATCATGCACACTTTCCTATATTCTTTGTTTTTTGGAACATTTTGGTATTTTCCATTTTTAGTTTTTTATTATTATTATTTTATTTTAAAGGTATTTAAAAGAGTATTTAACAGCTTGGGATTGCTACTTTTAAACATGATTTGTATACTATCAATGAAGATTATAAATTTTGTAAATTTTATCTGTTTGTTATTTTATGGCTTGCTTATTTTTTATTCCATATTTGTTTCGATGCTGTTTAAACGTTTCAACAACTTTTCTGTAAGAATGCACACTGAAGCAAAGCTCAGTCATAAAACTTTGTTTTGCTTGGAAAAACTAATGTCCGTCTTGCACCAAACAAACAGTTCAAAGAGCTGATTGATGATATATCATTTGTAACTATATAAATGGTGTCATCCATGAAATCACTATGCCATTAATAACCATTTTGGAATTTCCACGATTTTTGAAAGTTTGACATGTATAACTTTCGGAACATCCTGTATAGTGGATTTAAATTATGATATGTTTATAATTTCCATATGTTTGGGGAATCAGTAAATACTAACATTCTAAGGAATGAAAGATTATCAACATCCCCCCCACCGAAATATATAAATATAGGGTAAAAATTTCAAACGTAGTCATTTTTCTAAATACCTCATAAGAACAAACAAGCAAAACATAATTCTAACATGAATTGTGAATTAATGATATGAACTAATTTTTAAAAACGACTGAGAAATGTACAAATATATGAAATTAATTATAAACAAATTAGTGCCACATTAAATCAGGAAAATATAAACTAAAATCGGTATGTGCATCCGTCAGTTCGACCCATTTTTGTCATTCAAAACCAGACTTTTTCTTTTACATTTTTCTGTCACCCCCCTTCCCGACAAAGATTTACTGGGAGGTTTAAACACCATTTGCCATTATTCACTTGTGTTTGTGCTAATTTTTGTACAAATTTCATTTTTGTGTAACGATAGTTTGTAAAAGCTCTCATATTCTTCTTTGTTTTTTTGCATTAGAAATTTTGATTTTTTTTTTTTTTTTGTGTGCCAGTTGATTATTTAAAAATTGAATATAATGTTTGAATTTTCTTAAACTATTTTTCAAATTTAATAAATTAATTAATGCAGCTTACAACACAAAATTTGTGTTTGGGTTTTAAACTTCATTTGTCCTTTAATTTTTTTAAGTTTCTGTACAGGGTAAAAGCTCAACTATACGGAAAGCTCGGGAAATGCCAAATTGAGGATGCACGAAAATTCCAGATAGTTGAGTATATAAAAATTGGAATTGAGGTTGGAAAAGCCTAACGAAGGGAAGAAATTTCCAGTGTAAAATTATAAAATTAGTCATCTTATATGTCACCAACTTGAGTATAAAAAAAAATCCTACATTTAAAATTATATAAGATTTCAAGGGGGGGGCAATTGCATTTTAGACGGAAAAACCAACATATTTCGTAGACCTTACATATATATATATATATACATTTATCTTAAAATTAATTAACTATTAAAATGTAATAATATGAAATATTATTTTCATATATTTATGTATATTTATTTTTATTCATTCTATTTCAGTGCCGCAAATTAATCCCGTCATACTCGAAGTAAATTGGATGCCAGACTGCAAAAGAGCATGCCAGTACTATTCCGAATTCTACAATGATGTATTTGGTGTCCTGTTCCTCGAGGAACCTGTCGAAGGCAAGCATGTTGTTAAGCTGTGATAGATTTTCCGAAAATTATTCGACTTCAAATGTTCTCTTATGTGCTTACTTTTGTTTCATGTTATGAAAGCTCATTCTTGCAACACTCCAGAATTTTTCGTTACATTTTTATTGTTTTAAGTTTAAAAACAACAAAAATGTAGTGACGATTTAAGTTTAAGAACTTAAGAATTAAAAGTTTAACAACTTGTACTTTCAATAATTAAACTTTATGTGAAAGTTAAAAAAAATTTTTTTTGACTACTTTATTTTATTATTATTTGATCCAATGTTTGTTATTCATGTACTTATACAATTGAATAATGTTAATTTTTTTCTGTTTTCTAAATGGTAATAAACATTATTTTCTATGAAAGAAAGGGTGTACTTTCTAACTGTTTCATTTTTATTTTCTGGACACAAACAAACAGTTAAGGCAAATGAAATATAAAAAAAATGCTTGCCCAGTGTCAAGTTTTTGAATGGTTTTGAACCTCTTCCATTTTATTGTTCATTCTTATGTGAAGAATATGTTTAAAAAAAAAAAAAGTAGTAACTGAAAGTTTTTTTTTCACCCTTTGTTAATTGCAAAATGTTTAAGACACAATCTGAAATTATACTATTTATTAATGGTTTAAAAAATAGTTTCTCAAACTCTTTTAGAGTGGCGTCAATTTTTATGCTTGTCCTTTTTGACAGCAGTTTTTTAGCTTACTTCACTACAGTGTATTTATATTTTTAAAATACAGTTCATTAAATTGCATATAATTTCATATTAGTACTAAATAATTAAGTAAATAGAAGAAAATTTATACTTGTTTTTAATGCTTTGAGGCTATTACAGTTTGGATAATCTTTTATCCTATTAACTAAAATTTAAATAAATGTTGGTATTCACCTTAACAAGATGAACGAGTGTGCGGATTCTTACACAGATACTCTGTATTTGAATGTATGCTGGACATAGCAGCACATTCACAGCACTTTAATCCCTCTTTCTCTTATTGGAATTCGAGTGGGAAGTTCATTGATAGTGTAATCGGTAATTGCCTTAACGAACTCAGATTTTCAGCTATAGTGTGATATGTGCAGTTAATTTTACTTTTTGTGTATATATATTGTTATATGCATATGGGTTTGTAATGGACTGAATGCACACATAACTGATGATAGCGTAATGAAATTTATTTTCCCATAAACACTTTACAGTTCTAGAACTGTTCACAATACTACTTGTACAGCTTTCATAAATATGACAGAGCACAATCAGTAATTACCACTTCAAACTGCTAAGAATGTTGAATGGTAGGTAATACAAAAGGCCTCAAGTGCATAAGCTCACACAGTAAACTCTTGATACTCTCAGGCATGAAAGTTTTCCGCGTTTTCGCGGAATTCCACTTTTTTGAACGTCACCCGGGCTGTTTCTGAGATCGATGTAGGATTGTTGAGAAATTACGACCGGCAAATGTGGGGGGGGTGAACGGAGGACACGCCCTCTCCCTCTCTTTCTTTTTTTTTTTTTTTTTTTTTTTTTTTTTGTAAAAAAACTTTTTATCATGCTAGAGATCGCCAAATACGTTGTTTTACTTCAAGGCGAAGTAGGTGGGGCTTATGTGGAAAGGCGGAACTAGATGCATACGAATATTGAATCAAAGAAGAGCAAGCAACTGTCAAAGAAGAGTTAACTTCAATAATTTCAGCGATCGGTGCTGGCGCCATCTGTCGGACACACAGATAACCACTTGCATTCTCCAGTACACAAAACGTCTATGTAAAAATTTAAGGAATGCTCATTAACTGTACAAAGAAGAGCTAGAGATAAAAAAAAAGGAGGAGCGATAATCTAAAAAAAGCAATTAAACATTGCAGAAAATAAAAAAGTATCAATGGATTGTATAAAAGCTGCTGAAAAGAAATTGAGACTAGCTCGCAAATGGAAATTAGAAAAGTTGGCTGCAAAAGTAGCAAAAAAGAAAAAGCTTTTTCCCTAAAAATTTTTAATCAGGATCGAGTGAGACTGAGACAAAATATTTATTTTTTGTATTCCTCCTTTAACTATATGTTATTTTGTAACTATATTATCTTACATGATTACTTTTTCTGGTGTTATATAAAGTACTGTTTATTGAGTTAAAAGTGAAGGCAATTGAAAGCTATAGTAACAGTTATATATATATATTTTATCTCTAAAACTTGTCATTGCCTGAAAATAGGCAGTAATATATAACATAAATATGTATATTAGTGTGTTGTAATGTTGTGTACAGTATTCATGTATCAGCTGTTAAATTAAGTTACATAAGGAGCATCTTAAAGAAGATTAATTCATTACAATCTCTTGGTGATTTACTGATTTTTTTTTTATTACAAGTGGAAGATAAAATTAATAGCAAAATAGTAAGTACATATTATTTTAGTTTAATTATATGTATATGTTTAATACTTTTTATATTAAAAGATTGATATTTTATTAAAATGTGTTTTTTTTCTTCCTTGTACGAAGTACAAAGGAAGTATTGTAATCGTAAAAAGTAGCATATTTCAACGAAAATATCCATTTTGACCACTATCGAATGCAATTTAACGATGTTTTTTCGTGATATCTGTGCGTAAAGACAGAATAAAAGACTCGTTTCCACCAAAAAAATTATAAAACTGCTTTAAAATTAATTCTGAAGAGAATTTTTCGTGGCGTATGTATGTACGTACGTATCTCGCATAACTCAAAAACGAGTAGCCTCAGAACGGTGAAATTTTGTATATAGGACTGCTATAACATGTAGATGTGCACCTCATATTTTGGTTGCAATCGGCCGCACCAAACGTAATAAATTATATTTATATATATATTCCATTCTGTTACCCGGCTCAGTATCTCATTTTCTTTCTTATATATTTGTAAATTGTACATTTTTTGCTTTAAAAATTATTGAATTTTGTTGTTTTTATCTCCGGTTAAGGTTTTTTATGCCTTTAGTAAATTCGTATGTAATATTTTTAGATTAGCAACAATTTAAGTTGTTTAAGTGCCCTAACCTTTTTTTTTTTTTTTTATGGTGGCCATTGATTGTTTACATTTGAAACTAGTGGATTTGTTGCCAATCTAGAAACTTAGCTTCCCCAACAAGATAACGCCTTCATTTATTATTTGCCATTAAATCATAATTATCCTTTCTGGAAGTTTTTTCGAGAAATAAGTGTTTTAAGATTTACTTTAATTTAATTTAAGTACTTTTTATATAGATATTTTGAGTTTTTATGTATTTTTGCCTTCTCGCGAATGAGAACTGAATTAATTGAATGAGAAATACTCAATTGTCTGTAAAAAACTGTTTCTTTTTTGTTTTGTTTGCTTAATTTCTTGTAAAACATCATTCTAGCTTTATTATAGTATTTGAATAGAACATGTGGCAACGATTAGATAATTCTATTCTTTAAATGATATAAATTTTGTGCATTATGAGTTATAATATGAAAGAAATATAATACTGTTAAGTGAATCTAGCGCCAGAGTGTTGCTATGGTAAACAAATGCTAGAGTGAATTTTAAAGAATGCATTTATTCTATTGTGCTTTATGCGCTGTCAGCAAAGTAGATTTAATTCAATCCAATAAGTTTAAATGAAATGCAAGAAAAAATGCGTATAATTTAATATTCGGTACAAGGAAGTCATGTGGTTTGCACATCAGATTTTTTTTAGGGTCATGTGTATGCATTTAGTTTTTGTGTAATTTCTGTCCGTGCGTTGTTCAGCTTTTTTTGCCAATTTGCACTTTCATGCCTGTACTCTGAATTAAACTGATAATTGATGTTTTTTTTTTAGTCTTGCATAGTTTTTCCCTGTCTACCAAGAAATTTCAGTACCTTTGATACAAATCAAAGTTGCTGGAAGGCATATACAGCTCAGTTATACAGGGATAAGAACAAATTATCACCAAGTTTGGGAATTTCTTGCCAATTTTGCAAGAAAAATTAGTTTCCAAACCCGCCACGAGCTTGGTGCTATCTTGCCAATTGCCTTAATGATAAATGGAGTTATCCCTGTAATCTTACTTTTACGGCATATTCTTACATTTCTGAAGTCTTCTATAACATTATACAAGAAATTCTACAATTCGCATATGATTTCATGAAAATTATTTACATATATAAAAATTAATAACAATCTGTATATTTTGGAATTGTTGGAGGACCGCAAGGGCAAGCTTCAAGGACTACTTGAAGTCCACGGACACAGAATGAAAAGCACTTTCTTTAATTATTGAAGAAAAAGACATGATTTGTTGAGATACAATGTTTCTCCACAAAAGAGGTATGATATTTAAATTCAGATAGCATCTCATCATGTTTTTAAAGTAAGGATACATTTTCCATGGCTGCCAGTTCTCCCGCTTTTTAATTGTAGCCTTTGCTAAGGAAAATGTTTCCCAGTAATTAAGGAAATTTATGGAATTAATTAAACTTAAACTATGCAACTTTCATCCTCCTCCACCTAGTAATTTTGGCATAATTTTTCTCATTAAATTTTAATTGACCTTTCCTGGAATGCTTCGGCAAGAACTCCACTCTTTTTTCACAAATCAGACTACAGATCTCTATTCTTGGCACACTTCCAACAAAAGCTGTCAGTGAACTGTAAAAGAGCTACAACTCTATAATCGGAGTAAATTCACTCAGGTTCTTTGAATCAGTTCGGGAGCGAATCATCGAACTCTGGTTTGGAGTTCTTTTGAAATAGTGTCACTACATAGTACAGAAAACTCAGTTTTTCATATTCCAATGTTGGCAGTATTCCTTATTATTATTAGTTATTAAATAATTATTATTAAGTCCTAAGTTTTCGGAGAAAATTTATTAAGTGGAACAAGATTTGAGAATAAATAATGACAACCTAGTTTCCTTCCTTTATTTATTAAACTGTTTTCAATGCACAAATAAAAATACATATACAGTCAAAAGTCGTTAATCCGGACTCGTCTGGACTTCGGCGATTCCGGATTATCGATTTTTCCGGATTATAGATCATCAGTTTAAATCTCGTAGATCGCATGCAGAATTCTAAAATTAAAAATATGAAAACCGTAATTTATGAATAAAGAACAATTATGATCTAAAGGTATCAAAATTACAAAAAGAAAAACTTAATATTTATTTGTTTACTTTATTAAACATTTCCTTCAATGTATTGCTTCATTCATGTGAATACTTTCTCTTTAATTTCTTGTTTAGTTACAAATTTCCGCTGTTCAAGTTCCTATAATTGTTGTGTTGAGAATACCGACTAATTTGTCAATCGAAATGTTTTCGTTTCAATAACCTCTGGTCACTTTCTTCACTTCGGAAGCGAATTATAATGACGAGGAACTTGATTT